CAATCTTTGTGCTCAGCCTGGCCCCTGTATTGGGGTTGATTCCATTCAGCTTCCAGGCGGTTTCGACGGTGGCTGACCGCTACACGTACTTTGCGCTTCTCGGGCCTTCGCTGGCTCTGGCCGCATGGTATTCTGTTCGAAGTAGCGCATTGTCGACCGGATTGGCAGTGGGTGTGATCTTCCTATGCAGCGTTCTAAGTTGGCAGCAGACGGGGTATTGGCAGAGCGATCGGGCATTGTTTTCACGGACCCTTGCTGTGAACGATCGTAGCGTGCTGTCGGCGAACGCGTTAGGCAACGTCGAATCCAGCGAGGGCAACTTTCCACGGGCGATCGACTACTACACCCGGGCGATTGAAATCGACCCCACCTCGGCCGAGGCATGGTTCAACCTGGGTGCGTCTCACGAAAACCTGGGCGACTTTGAATTGGCTCTCAAGAGCTATCATAGATCCTTGCTGTATCGACCTGGGTCTGCGAAAGCTCAGCGAGCTCTTGCGCGGGTGCTTGTTGACATGGGGCGTTTCGATCAGGCAGCCGCAACTCTCGAAGAACTCATCGAGAAGATACCGACGCACTATGCCGGGCGGCTCGAACTTGCAGTGGTCTATCAACAACTCGAACGCCCTGACGCTGCAGAGCATCAATACCGTATTGCGATACAGCAAGCCCCTGACCAACTAAAGGGCTACACCCAACTGGCGGCACTCTTGGGCAGTCACTCCAAATGGCTTGAGGCCGCCGAAGTCTTGTCCCAAGCGGTCGAGCGGTTTCCTCAAGAACCAGACGCTTGGTTTAACTTGGGTACGGCCTATTTGTTTGCCGGGCGTTATCAAGAATCGGTGGCAGCCTTGCAGCGGGCGGTCGAACTCAATCCGAACGATCAAGTTGCTGTGGATCAACTTGCAAGAGCGATGGAGGCATCCGGAGAACTATCCGAACCGGAAGCCACCCGACAATAGTCATAGCGGCACCTCCTGAAACCAAGATGCTGGAGTCTTCTTGCATCATAGCCCGAAGGTGCAAGGCCTGGTTCTCTGATAAGATTGGGTTTGCGATTCGGAATCGGTAGTGCGCGCTTCGACGGTCACGTTGCCCGAGGAGAGTCACTTTCGCTTAAGTCGCGAGTTGTTCGAGTAAGTTCAGAGAAGAATGATCTTTTCGTGAAAGCCACTTCGCAAAACCTCACTAGCTTGCCGCCAAACTTACCGTGGCGGGAAGGATTGATTGCCGCGGGCATCTTGGCCCTCATCGTTGTGGCGATTTACGGTCGAACCGCAACTTTCGACTTCATTCAGTATGACGATCAGGTCTATGTGAGTGAGAATCCTCTTGTTCTGAATCCAAGCAAAGAGTTGCTCGCACGCATCTGGGTCTCCCCGCGTGAAGGCGTATATATTCCCTTGGCCTACACTGCCTATTGGGCCATTGGACGTATGGCAGAGATAGAAACACCGACGGGGGCGACTGGCGTCGATGCGGGACCTTTTCATTTCGCATCCATGCTTGTGCATCTGACATGTTCGTGGTTGGTGTGGTTGCTAGTCTGGCAGTTGTTTCGGAATCAATGGGGGGCCGTCGCGGCCGGCCTACTGTTTGCGTGTCATCCCTTACAGGTCGAATCAGTTGCGTGGGTCTCGGGCTTCTCGGGTCAGTTGGGGGCCTTGTTTTCGTTGTTGACGCTTTGGTTATTCCTGCGCGCGATTCAGGAATGGACCGCCGACAAGCCAGTTGCAGCCAAAAGCCGCAAGATGGCTTTGCGGTTCTATGGCATCAGCACACTGGCCTTTACCGCGGCACTGCTTAGTAAGCCGCAGGCGGTTACCTTGCCGTTGATTGCAGCCCTGGTTGCGGCACTGTGGTACAAGCCCTCATGGCGATTGATAGTCGCTTTGCTGGGGCCCTGGCTTCTGCTGGGGGCCGTCATCGCGCTAATTACGGCTGGCACGCAGGGCGAAGGCACGATGGCGTTCATTTCGCCCTGGTGGTCGCGACCTTTCATCGCAGGCGACGCCATCGCTTTCTATCTCATGAAGCTGTTTTGGCCGCTAAACCTGGGCCCTGACCATGGGAGAAGTCCGCGGGTTCTCCTCAATGGCCCTTGGGTCTTCGTGGCCTGGCTCATTCCCGTGAGCGTAGCGCTAGCAGGGATTGTTTTGAGGGTGGGAAAGTCTTTATGGGCCGCACTCGGCATCTTTGTGCTAGCTGTTCTGCCCGTACTGGGGTTGATTCCGTTTGCACATCAGAACATTTCCACGGTCGCAGATCGTTACGTCTACTTCGCCATGCTTGGCCCGGCCGTGGCGGTGGGGGCCTGGTTCAGCATTCCTCGTGGATCTTTGCATTGGATCTGCGGGGGAGTGCTTTTCGTCATCTTCTCAGCTTTAAGTTTCAATCAGGCCGGTCTGTGGCGCAACACTGAAACAATGGTCGACCATGCTCTCGCAATCAACGACCGCAGCGGAACGATGCGAGGCGTTAAGGCAGAGCAATTGCGGCGGAAAGGACTCCCGCAAGAAGCACTTAACCAGTTGGAGTTGGCCGTTGAAAAGCAGCCCGACTCGGCTTCCGCCCACTATCGGCTTGCCGTGTGGTATTTGAATCATCAGGAATATGACGCGGCACTCCAATCGATCTCAAACGCCCTTCAGCTTCAGCCTAGCCAGCCGAGAATGCTGACGACTCTTGGCAAGGTTTATTGGGGGCATGGCGATTTCGAACGTGCTCTCGAGACACTTAAGAAAGCTGTGGCGATAGCGCCCCACGACTCAGTGCCGCGTTTGGCGCTCGCTCAGTTACTTGGGCGGCTGGGAAGAATAGAAGAGGCAACGGCTCAATATGAATTGGTTGTCGAATTAGCCCCAGAAAATGTGGAGGCTGCCACGACACTGGGAACGCTATTGGCCGCGCAAGGAGACCTAGGTCGGGCTGAAGTGTTGTGTCGCAGGGCGGTCGCCTTGGCCCCCGACTCCCATCTGGCTCATGCGGATCTCGGGTCCATATTGTTGAATCGGGGTGACTTCGACGGTGCCGCTCAGGAATTTAGTGCTGCACTGAAATTGGGGGCTGTGGAAGAAGCACGGATCAACCTGGGTATCGCGTTGCTGCAATTGGGGCGCCTGAATGAAGCCGAGCAGCAGTTGACCAGGGCAGTTAAGGAATTGCCCGAGAGTGCGGATGCGCACTACAACCTAGCGGCAGTGTTGCTTCGGATGGGGCGCAATGAGGAGGCGCGAGAACTCCTCCAGCGGTCACTCAAACTGAACCCAGATCACCAGCCGGCAAGGATTCAACTTGAGGCACTCGAGAGTAACTGAATGAGCTCCGCTCTCGGCTGTTGGGACAAGCATCTAGCTGAACATTTGCCCGCGGTCTGTGGCTTCGAAAGCATTTTCGAAGTATTCAACCTCAGGGCTGCTGCCCTGTTCGGGCCATGTAATTGCCACGACATCGAAGCGGGCTGGGTATTCGAGCAAGCCATGGCCCTTGAGATACGCGAGGGCCAGTCGCGTCAGCCGCTGTTGCTTGTTTGCGTCAACGGCCAGCACCGGATGGCCCGCTTCTGTCGAGGTGCGGGTTTTCACCTCGATGAAGACAATGGTGCCACCATCGACGGCAACCAGGTCCAGCTCGCCAGGTCGGAGCCGTTTGCCGCGGGCGACGATTCGCATCCCCCTGCGTTTGACGTAGCGGGCGGCTAATGCTTCGCCACGCCGCCCCAGGGCATGGGGACTGCTCGACTTGCGAAGCTTCAACCAGCGCCACATCGTTTAGCCCCGGCGACTAGGATTAGCCCTCCCTGGCTTACAGTGTGAGAAGATGAGTCGCTCGCGGACTAACCCTTCTTCGCCTTCTTGCCAGTCTTTTCGGTCACCATTCGACGCTCTTTCAGACGTACGGCCTTACCGATGCGATCGCGGAGGTAATACAGCTTGGCCCGACGGACCACTGCCTTGCGCTTGACCTCGATCGTGGCGATACGAGGGGAGTGTACCGGGAACTTACGCTCGACACCCTCGCCGGCCACGATGCGGCGCACGACGAACATTTCGCGGGTGCCCGAGCCGCTACGGGCGATGACCACGCCGTTGAAGATCTGGATGCGTTCTTTGTTGCCTTCCAGAATTCGAGTGTGCACATCGACGGTATCGCCGATTTCGAATTCCGGTACTTCCGACTTCAGGCTGTCCTTTTCGACCAAGGACATGATTTGTTGACTCATCGGTTGGTTCCTTTCATTACACTCGCCCGCGGGGACACCCGGGTCGGACGTTAGTCGTTGCTATCAGATTGATTTGTTTGGTTTGATTCGGGCTTTAGCAGGTCGGGGCGACGTTCAGCAGTTCTCTCAAGGCTCTGTTTCTCTCGCCATGCGGCGATCTTTCCATGATCTCCGCTGAAAAGGATCTCGGGTACCTCGTGGCCCTCGAATTCCCGAGGACGTGTGTACTGGGCGAATTCCAGCAGTCGCCCAGTGCCAGAGAAAGAGTCTTCTCGGTTGCTTTGTTCGTCTCCCAACACTCCTGGTATCAGCCGGCTCACGGCATCGATCACCACCATCGAGGCCACCTCTCCTCCACCGAGAATGAAGTCGCCGATCGAAACCTCTTCCGGTTGCAATATCTCCTTTACGCGTTCGTCAAACCCTTCGTAGCGGCCACACAGCAACAGTAAGCGTGGGTGCGTTGCTAGTCGCTCGACCATCTCTTGGTTCAGAGTCTTTCCCTGCGGGGTGAGCATCACCAGGTGTGGTGCCTCGGGGCTCATCTCCCGCACGGACTCGACCGCGCGAACCACCGGTTCGACCATGAGCACCATTCCAGGGCCGCCTCCGAAGGGGCGATCGTCCACTTGTTTGTGCTTGCCTGTGGCCCAGTCGCGTAGGTTATGCAACTGGACGTCGATCAGCTTCCGCTGGATCGCCAAATTCAGCAGGCTTTGGCTCAAATAACCGTGGAACATCTCCGGGAACAGGGTGACTACGTCGAACCGCATCAGGTTTACTCGGTTTTCTCGCCCTCTTCCGAGGCCTCGCTGCTGGCCTCAACTTCTGGGGCGGCTTCTGCACTCTCGCTGCTCTCGGCGGCGGGAGCCTCTTCAGTGGCGGCCTCGGCCTTGGGCTCTTCAGAGCCTTCGGCGGCTTCTTCCTTCTCGCCCGGCTTCGGCGGTACGTAAGCCGGTTCGCCTTGGGCTGGAACCACCTTGGGCATCGCCAGTCGGGCCCGGGCTTCTTCCTGGGCTTTCAAGTGAGTGCCTTCCAGGCCGTACTTCTTGATTAGCACCTGCACCTTTTCACTGGGTTGGGCACCGACACTCAGCCAGTAGGCCACACGTTCGCCGTTGAGCAAGGCTCGAGCGTCAACTTCGGAGACCATGGGATCGTAGGTTCCGAGTTCTTCCAGTACACGACCATCACGCGGCCGACGACCGTCGGTTGCGCAAACACGATAAAACGGCCGATGCCGCCGCCCCATCTTCTTCATACGAATACGTACTGCCACGAGTTACTCCTCAACAGAAATCTAAAACGCTGGAATCAACTGTTTACTTTTGTCGCCGCTTGCGGCGTTTCTCTCGTTCTCGCTCTTTCTTGAGCTTCTTTTTCTCTGAATTTGATAGGCGCCGGCCCGTGCTCTTCTTCTGCTTGGCGAACTTGCCGCCAGGGTTCATGAACCCTCCGGCTGAGAGTTCCTTCACCTTGGCCATCCGCTCCCGCATTCCCAGGCCGGCCATGCCTTTCATCATCTGGGCCATACCGTCGAAACTCTTGACGAGTTCATTCACCTCGTGCGGTTCGACTCCCGCACCGGCAGCGATGCGTCGACGGCGGCTGGTGTCGATCACTTTCGAGGGACGTCGTCGTTCCTCGGCGGTCATGGAGTCGATCATGCCGAAGAGGCGCTTCATGTCGCCTTCGGCATCCACGTCCTTCATGGCTTTGTTCATGTCGCCCATGCCGGGGATCATGCCCATGATCTTGTTGAGCGGTCCCAATTTGCGGGCCTGGTTCATCATCTTGCGGAAATCGTCGAGGGTGAACTCTCCCTTGCGGAGTCGTTCCTCCTGGTCGGCCATTTCCTCTTGATCGAATTTCTGCTGGGCCTGCTCGACCAGAGACAGGACATCGCCCATCCCCAGGATCCGGCCCGCCATGCGATCGGGATGGAACTCCTCGAGGGCATCGAGATGTTCCCCCATACCGATGAACTTGATCGGAACGCCGGTGACCGACTTGACCGACAGGGCCGCACCGCCGCGGGCATCACCGTCGAGCTTCGTCATGATCACGCCGTCGAGTTCCAAGGCATCGTTAAACGCCTGGGCACTGTTCACGGCGTCTTGACCGGTCATTCCGTCGACCACGAGGTAGACCTGCTCGGGAGCGACCCGGCGGTCGATCTCCTTGAGCTGGTTCATCAACTCATCGTCGACGTGCAAACGCCCGGCCGTATCGAGGATCACCACATCCGAGCCCGACTTCTTGGCCTGGGCCACTGCATTGCGGCAGACGGCCACGGGGTTCTGGTTGTCGCGTTCAGAATAGACCGGGACACCGACCTGTTCGCCTAACACGTGCAATTGGTCAATAGCCGCGGGGCGCTGCAAGTCGGCAGCCACCAGCAGAGGTTTTCGACCACGCTCGAGGAGCATACGGGCCAGCTTTCCGCATGTGGTGGTTTTTCCAGAACCTTGCAGCCCGCACATCATCAGCACGGGGGTGTCTTTGTTGATGTGCAGGGAATGGTCGACCGGTCCCATCAGGTCGATCAGCTCTTGGTGCACGATTCCGACGACTTGCTGGCTGGGGTCCAGCGATTTGAGCACCTTCTCGCCAACGGCTTTTTCGCTGACGCTGGCCATAAACTTCTTAACGACCGCAAAGCTGACGTCGGCTTCGAGCAAGGCTTTTTGCACCAGCCCAAGACTTTCTCGCATATTGGCTTCTGTCAGCGTGCCCTTGCCGCGCAGGGTCTTCAGTGCCGAACTTAGGCCGTCTTGGAGGGATTCAAACATTGCTACAGTCGTCTAATCGTGTGCGTAACAACACACCGTGGGGAGGCTGCCCCCAGATGCACCGCGAGACCGCCCGCTCAGCTTGTGAGGGGCTCCACACAGAAAGGCCGAATTTTGGTAATCCCAGATCGTAGCAAATCGTTGGGGCGCTTGGCAATCCTTCGCCGCAGGCTCTTTTGGGAAGGGATTTAAGTCCGGAGTCGAGGACTTACTTGTCTCAACTTGCCTAGCAGGACAGGATGTAAGGGTATTTGGCCAAGATTAGCTAATGCGCGAACCCCCTCATGTGGGGGTTTTTGTAATCATCGAGACGCCATGGTCGCATCACGGTCTGAGCACGTATCGCTTCTGTCTTTTGCTGTGATACGGCGATTTCTCAAGCCATTTCTCACAATGGCGGTGGTGCTCATGTTTGTCATGGCGATCCTTTCGTCCCAGGAATTCGAGTATCGCCAATCCATTTTCGAGCAGGAGGGACTGTTCGCCGTCGAGATGCAGCAGGAGTTTATCTCGCTAGAGTTCCGCGAAGTCCAAACCGACCTGCTGTACCTTTCGGGACAATCGGCCTTGAAAGAGTTCCTTTCTGGAGACGAAAACGCCCGGGAGGTCCTCGAACGCGATTACCAGAATCTGGCCGAAAGTAAGACTGTCTACGATCAGATTCGCTGCCTGGATGAATCGGGCAAGGAAATCGTGCGCGTCAACTACACAGATGGTCGCGCTTCGATCGTCCCTCAGGAAGCACTCCAGAGCAAAACGACTCGTTATTACTACCAACAGGCGATGTCGTTGCGTGAGGGAGAGATTTTTGTCTCTCCTTTTGATCTCAATATCGAACATGGTGAGATCGAGCAGCCTGTTAAGCCCGTGATTCGCTTTCTTACTCCAATTTTTGACGAGATGGGTGAGAAACGTGGGCTACTAGTGTTGAATTACCTTGGCACTCATCTGCTCTCTCGGCTGAAGGAGATTGGGGAAGGTTTCGTCGGACAGACTATGCTCATCAACTTCAACGGCGAATATCTCCAAGCCCCAAACCCGGAACATGATTGGGCTTGGATGAGGGGGCGTGAAGAGAGCTTTCGGTCGCATTATCCAGAGGCATGGGCCTCGATTGAGGAGATTGACGAAGGGCAAGTTCGAGTCGAACAAGGATCTTTCGCTGTCCGGCGGGTATCGCCATCGATGCCGTTTGAAAGAGGTGGCTTTTCTCCCCCGGGGGCGGAGTTATTGGACGAAAGTTCGCTTTTTCTGATTGTCTATGTTCCCGCACAGCTAGCCTACGCCGAATCGGTTGCCATTCTGACGCCGATCGCTTGGATTTGCGTGGGCGCTTTAGCTGTGGTCTCGCTGTTGTCTTTGTATGGTGCCCGATCGAGCGCGATTCGCGAGCAGCAGGAGATTAACCTTGCCGACTCCGAATCTCGACTGCGACGACTATCCACATTGCTAATAGCGGCTCAGGAGGCGGAGCGACGCAGTATCTCGCGTGACTTGCACGATGAATTAGGGCAGCAGGTAACCGCGATCACACTCGATTTGAAGTCTGCCGCCCGTGATAATGTCGAGCCCAAGGTCGGAGAATCGCTGCGACGGTCTGTTGATGGTATCGGGCAGTTGCTAACCAGTTTGCACGAGATCGCCACCCGATTGCGTCCGAGTGTTCTGGACGACCTGGGGCTTCGAGACGCCGTGGGCAGCTACCTCTCAGAGTACGAGAAACGCACCGGGATCAGTGTGCACGCGGAGCTTGATTTCGATCACCGGGAAATACCGCCCACCGCCGGAGAAAACGCTTACCGTATTCTGCAAGAATCACTGACAAACGTTGCAAACCATGCTGAAGCAGAAGATGTTTGGGTTAGAATCAAGGTCGCAGCAGATAACCTTTGCTTGGGTATCAAAGACTGTGGAGTTGGTTTCGACCTGGCACAATTGAAGAACTCTCCCCGGCTGGGCATTCTCGGAATGCAGGAGAGAGTTGAACTTCTTGGTGGTCAGTTTGAACTCCGGTCGACGCCTGGGAAGGGGACGGCAATCGAGGTCGAGATTCCTTTGGATGAACCAGACATTTCAACCACATGAGCCCAGTGGCGACCGCATGCTCAATCAAATACCAACTCGTGTCGTATTAGCAGACGACCACGCAATGGTACGCGAAGCGCTCGCGCGAATACTCAACGACAGTGGCCAAGTCACGGTGGTGGGACAAGCCAGTGACGGAACCCAGGCTCTGGCCGCGATCGAAGAAACCCGACCGCAGGTTGTAGTACTCGACTATTCCATGCCCCACCAAGATGCACCGCAAGTAATCGATGTCTTAACCGAACGGCATCCGAGCATAAAAATCTTGGTCTTGACGGTGCATGAGAACATTCACTACGCAGTTCGCGTTCTTGAATCGGGGGCACACGGATACCTGATCAAGTCAGCCGCGGTCGAGGAACTTGTCGAGGCCATCAATACCGTTCGCGGAGGTGGAGTTTACGTTTCACCGAAGGTATCGCAGGAAGTACTTCAGCACATGCGGCGGCCAAAACGCGAACGTGTGGGCCTGGAATCGCTTTCCCAGCGAGAGTTCGACTTTCTCCGTATCTATAGCTCCGGCAAAGGTTTGCAGGAGTGTGCCAAGCAGATGGGGGTCAGCAGTAGTACGGCCTCGACGTACCGTGCGCGGATCATGGAGAAGCTAAACCTTCAAAGCACCTCCGCCTTAATTCGCTTTGCCTTGGAACAAAACGTGGTCGAGTAGCGTCAATATCTCCAAAGGTAGTTTTAGTGGCTCTTTACTCAGACACGACAAAATGAATCTCGAGCACTCCTCAAACTCTGAAGATCCCGGAAATGGCTGGCTACTAGGAGTAGCCGGTCTCCCCATTCCTTTGGTCGTCGCCGCGTTCAATGCACTGGCACTCTATCAGCAGTACGAGTTCGATTACGAAGGCTGGTCCGGACCGCTGGTTTTGACGCTGGTGGTACTGGCAACCTGTGCCTGTATCCCACTAGGTGGAATGTGGGCACTCAAGCGACCTGACTCCCGATTTGCACGAATCTTCGGAGGCCGGATCCTGGTCATCGCGGGAATAGCGGCGGCTCTCTTCTGGATGGGCGTGGCCGTAATGGTTCTGACAATGAATTTGTATTACGACATGGCCACTCCCACGGAGCTGGTTGGAGCGAGCTTAGCCATTTTCGGCGGCATCGTTTTGGGAGGGCTCGTACTTACGGCAATCCTTTCCATGGTCCGTGAAAAGTAGATCCTGGCTGGTCTAGCCAATTGGACTATGAGCACCGGCATCCTGAATCGCCGTCGCGGTATTGACCTTTGGTGCTATAGTGAACTCTTGCTGGGCGAGGCTTGTTTGCCACGCTCGAATTCATTGGAAGAGGTCGAACCGGTTTACAGATTCTGGCTGCCGGTCGTTTGAGCCATGTGGTCGTCTCGACTGTTCTGGAAGTTCTTCTTGGCATACGCGGTACTGACCGTGATCGCCTCATCGGCTTTTGTCTGGGTGGTCGCCGGCTGGCAAGGCGAGCAGCTTATCGAACAGGTGGATGAGCGGCTCAGGACAGAGGCGGTCCTACTTGAAAGCCATCTCCGCCGCGGTTTCGTCGATGGCTTCAAAGGCGATTTGGAGCAACGCATCGAGGAACTCGGCGAAAAGACTAATTCGCGGATCACCTTGATCTCTCCCGATGGGAAGGTGTTGGCAGACAATCGCGAAGATCCGGCCAACATGGATAACCATAAAGACCGCCCCGAACTACGTCAGGCCGCCGCATCAGGAATTGGCACTTCTCAACGCGTTAGTCCTACGCTCGAGCATTCGATGCTCTACGTGGCTGTGGCCTCTAAGGTTAACGGGGAGGTCGTCGGCTTTGTTCGAGTTTCGAATCCACTGCAGAGCATCCACCAGCAAGCCGCCGACATTAAGAAGCTGATTTGGCTGGTGGCTCTGGTTGTGAGTTTGGCCGTGTTGATCACGACTTATTGGGTCGTCGGGCGAATTCTTCAGCCGGTGGCCACACTTACTGAGGCCGCCGAGGCTATTGCCGCGGGTGACTATCACCGTCGGGTCTATGTTTCGAATCAGGACGAATTGGGCCTCCTGGCGAATACCTTCGACCACATGAGTCGAGAGCTGGCCGGAAAGATGGAAGACCTGCGGCTTACTGGCGAGCGACTAGCGACCGTGTTGGAAAGCATGATCGAGGGAGTCGTGGCGATCGATGCCGATCAACGGATTCTATTCGTAAACGATGCCGCCAGAGATCTCTTGAAAATCCATTCACCGGAAACAACTGGGCGTCCGCTGCTGGAAGCAGCTCGCAGTAGAATCCTGCACGAGACTGCACTTCAGGCTTTGAACGAGGGCGAACCGTGCCGTAGCGAATTCGAAACCACAGGGCCCGATCGCCGCTTCGTGGCTGTTTACGCCACGACCCTTCCCGGTGAGACTCCGCCCGGCGTGGTGCTGGTACTGCATGACATTACCGAACTCCGGCGACTCGAAAATATGCGGCAAGAATTCGTCGCCAACGTCTCCCACGAGTTGAAGACTCCGCTGAGTTCGATCAAGGCCTTTACCGAAACACTCCTCCGCGGGGCTCTCGATGATCCCACGAATCGCGTGAACTTTTTGCGGCGAATCGACGAACAGGCCCAGCGGCTGCACGAGTTGATACTCGATATGTTGAGCCTCTCGCAGATCGAGTCTGGACAGCAGGGATTCGATATCGTTCCCGTCTCGCTCACCACGGTCATCGGCTCGGTCATTTCCAGTCAGCAGCCCGCCGCGGCGGCGAAAGATCTCTCGCTGAAGCTCGAGGAAAGCGAGCCAGAAGTGTTCGTGAGGGCGGATGAAGAGGGGCTTCGTCAGATCTTGGTCAATCTTATTGATAACGCCATCAAGTATACCCCCGCAGGTGGGGCAGTGAATGTCGGCTATCACACGGAAAACGGAGATGTTCTACTTGATGTCTCCGACACGGGAATTGGAATTCCCCCCGAGATGCATAACCGAATCTTCGAGCGGTTCTACAGAGTTGATAAAGCCCGATCACGCGAACTGGGGGGGACGGGGCTTGGTCTCTCAATCGTGAAGCACTTGGCCCAATCGTTTGGTGGCAGCGTACGTGTCCAGAGCCAAGTTGAACGCGGGTCGACATTTACGATCACACTTCCCCGAGAGGAAGCGGACGCCAGAGTCTGAGGTGCGGCTTGCTCTCCAGGCGAGCTACCGGCCACCCAGGCGTTGCCCGAGGTGCCCCCCTTAACAATTCACAGTTTCTTAATTTGATCTTCATAATCGGCCCTTAAGTTGACGCCGTGAAGAGTGCTGGCATTGGTTCAGACGCTCGTTAAGGAACAGGTCCAGCAGATCCCACGCGATTGAGTTGGACGTCGGGCTGCTACTTGATCCTACCTAAGCGCCCTGTGAACGTTTTATTGATACGTCTCCGCTGCTACCCGAGATCCGATGCAAACGAATCGGTGTAGCTTCCTCTAATCCAAGGCGCAAATACCACGATGTGGTTCAACCTCAAGGGTTCAACAATCGCTCTGTTGGCGATGGTGAGCTTTCTTACCGGTTGCGGTAGCAGCCAACCCACGGCGGTCGTAAAGGTCGATGGCTCCAGCACCGTGTTTCCCATCACCGAGGCCGTGGCCGAAGAGTTCCAAAAAACCAGCCCTAACGTCCGGGTTACCGTTGGGATCTCGGGCACCGGTGGCGGCTTTAAGAAGCTGGGTGCGGGTGAACTCGATCTCTGTGATGCTTCCCGAGAAATTACCGATGCCGAAGCCGAGGCTTGTCGCAAAGGCGGCATCGAGCCCCTCGAATTAATCGTGGCCATCGACGGAATAGCGGTGGTCGTCAATCCTGAGAATGATTGGGTGGACCAGCTAACCGTTGATCAGTTGAAGGAAATCTGGCGACCCCAGAGTGGGATCAACCTTTGGAGCGATCTCAACCCCGACTGGCCTGCTGAGAAGATCAACCTCTACGGACCTGGTACCGACTCTGGGACGTTCGATTACTTCACGTCCGAGGTTGTAGGCGAGGCCAAAGCGAGCCGATCGGACTTCACGGCCAGTGAAGACGACAACGTCATCGTCCGAGGTGTCGGAGCCGATCGATATGCCTTAGGCTACTTCGGCTTTGCCTACTACGACATGAATCAAGATAGTCTAAAGCTCTTGGCCGTTGAGACGGACAAGGGTGCAGTCAAACCGACGTTCGAAACCATCCGTTCAAACGAGTACAGCCCTCTGTCTCGGCCGTTGTATATCTATGTCGCCGACTCGGCTTTGTCCCGTCCCGAGGTACGGCAGTTCGTCGACTTCTATCTCGAGAACGCTGATTCGCTTGCAACCGAGGTTGGTTACATCCCGGTACAGGACGACGTGCTGGCCGAGAATCGAAAACGCGTCAAACAAGGAAATCGTTCTTAGTGCAACCTTTTGGCTTCGAGGGCGTTTGTTACTCATCATCACGATGATGGCGAACGTTTTCACCGATGACGAACCGTGAAGGATCGATCGTGGTGGTAGATGTGGCGCATGTTTCCGCGTCGACGCAATCGATTAGCGAACCCGCAAGCAAGCGAGTAGGTGAAAAACTAATTCACTTGTTCCTGTGGCTCTGCGCTTCGGTCTCAGTGCTGACCACCGTCGGCATTGTGGTGGTCCTTCTAGTCGAGACGGTTCATTTCTTCAGCGAAGTGTCGTTGCTATCGTTTCTTACCGGAACACGGTGGGCCCCGCTGCTGCGTCCACAGTCGTTCGGCATCCTGCCTTTGCTGTGTGGTACAGCCTGGGTAGCCTTTGGTTCGGCTTTGATAGCCTTGCCACTTGGGTTGTGCACGGCGATCTTTCTCAGTGAATACGCTTCGCCCCGTGTGCGGAACATTGTCAAGCCAATGCTTGAGATCCTCGCAGGCATCCCGTCGGTGGTATATGGGTACTTCGCCGTCGTGATGATCTCTCCTTTGATTCGCGAGTTGGTCCCCTCGGCCGATGTATTTAACGCGGTAAGCGCGAGTATCGTGCTGGCCGTAATGATCTTACCGATGGTTGTCTCACTCAGCGAAGACATGCTGCGTTCCGTGCCGCGGTCCTTGAGAGAAGCCGCTTATGCCCTGGGTTCGACCAAGCTCGACGTGACCTGCCGTGTTGTGGTACCCGCGGCGTTGTCGGGAATCATCGCTTCGTTCTTGCTGGCCATTTCTCGCGCGGTGGGTGAGACAATGGCGGTCACTCTTGCAGCAGGAGCAACTCCCAAGTTGACTTGGAATCCGTTCGAAAGCATCCAGACGATGACCGCATACATCGTTCAGGTGAGCCTCGGCGACACTCCGGCGGGCAGCATCGAGTACCTTACGATCTTTGCGGTGGGCATGACGTTGTTTTTGCTAACGCTCACCATGAATGTCCTCGCCCAGTGGGTCCTCTCACGCTATCGTGAGGTCTACGAATGAGTTCCCGCTCCGATATTTCCGAGGGCGTCGGCACCCGCAAGTGGATGGATCGTGCATTCGCTTGGTTGTGCGGAGGAGCGACGCTACTCAGCCTCTCATTGCTTGCCGTGCTGATCGGCAAAATTGTTTGGGAAGGTGCCGCCCGCTTGGACTGGCAGTTGATTTCTTCGTTCCCTTCTCGCTTTCCAGAGCAGGCCGGAGTGAAGTCGGCTTTCGTTGGTAGCCTTTGGCTCATTCTGCTGACTGCTATCATCAGCGTTGGGGTTGGGGTGGGGGCCGCAATTTATCTCGAAGAATACGCGCCGAAGACGCGGTTGCGAGGGTTGATTCAAACGAACATTGCGAACCTGGCCGGGGTGCCGTCGATTGTGTATGGCATTCTGGGGCTCGGGTTATTCGTAAGGGCTATGGCCTTGCAACGGAGCTTGATTGCAGGTGCGTTGACACTTTCGTTGGTCATTCTGCCCATCATTATCATGGCCTCGCAAGAGGCACTGCGCGCGATCCCGGACTCGATCCGGCACGCCTCGTATGCATTAGGCGCAACGCGGTGGCAAACGATTCGCCATCAAGTACTGCCCGCGGCAGTGCCCGGAATTATGACCGGCGTAATTCTGGCTCTCTCCCGAGCACTGGGTGAAGCGGCCCCGCTGGTGATGATCGGGGCCCTGAACTATGTCGCATTCGTACCACGTGGTTTAGGCGACCCCTTCACGGCGTTGCCAATCCAGATTTTCAATTGGACTTCGCGTCCTCAACCCGAGTTTCACGAGTTAGCCGCGGCGGGAATTTTAGTTTTGCTGGTGATGTTGTTGGGAATGAACGCGATCGCGGTGTTCGTGCGACATCATTACGGCAAGCACATTCGCTGGTAAGAAGAACTCGAGGGCAACAGTAATGACCAACTCAGAACAAGTTTTGCAGGCGAACTCGGTTGCGGAGTCCGGTGATGATCGCAAGCAACCAGCTTCGCTCAAAGAGTTGGCGGCAGAACGTCCGCAATCGTCTCGAGCCCCGGCCGATCTGAACCAGGCCTCACCAAAGATGCAGGTGCACGACCTTTCGGTTTACTACGGCGAAACGCGCGCCGTGAGCGAAGTGTCCCTCTCGATTCCTCGCCAGTGTGTCACCGCCCTGATTGGTCCCTCTGGGTGCGGAAAATCGACCTTCTTGCGGTCGCTCAATCGGATGAATGACATGGTTGACGCTGCCCGGATCGAGGGGAAGGTTCTGCTCGACGAACGGGACATATACGACCGCCGAACCGATGTGGTGAAGCTGCGGAAACGCGTCGGAATGGTCTTTCAGAAGTCGAATCCATTTCCCAAGTCGGTCTTCGAGAACATCGCCTACGGTCCACGTGTTGCAGGAATTAGCAACATGTCCAAGTTGCGTGAAATCGCCGAGCAGTCGTTGCGCAGGGCCGCGCTCTGGGATGAGGTCCGTGATCGACTCGACAAATCGGCACTCGATCTCTCCGGCGGGCAGCAGCAACGGCTGTGCATCGCTCGGGCCCTGGCCACCGACCCTGAAGTGCTTCTGATGGACGAGCCCGCTTCAGCGCTCGATCCGGCCTCGACGTCGAGGATCGAAGATCTGATCTTCGAGCTGCGAGAACAGTACACAATTGTGATTGTTACTCATAATATGCAACAGGCCGCTCGGGTGTCGGACCAGACGGCGTTCTTTTACCAAGGCGAGTTGATTGAGTGTGGGGCGACGAATGATATTTTCACGGTGCCTAAGCGTCGCAAGACCGAGGACTACATCACCGGACGTTTTGGATAAACGCCATGAGTAAGCAAATCAAACATGGCTTGGATGCCCTGCAGCAAAGTATTTTGGCGATGTCGGCCATGGTCGAGGAGATGATCGACAATGCATACCTTGCATTGCAACAGCAAGATCCACACTTGGCCGAGGCGGTGATCCAGGCCGACGTGGAAGTGAACAAGCGCGAAGTTCAAATTGAAAACCAGTGTCTGGAGATCTTGGCCCGCCAGCAGCCTGTCGCGGCCGACCTCCGCCGCACGGTCACTGTGCTAAAGATCAACAACGACTTAGAACGCATTGCCGATCTCGCAGTGAACATTGCCGAACGAGTGAAGAGCCTTTCTCAATTGGACCGCATACCTGTCCTAGAGATTATGCGGGACATGGCTGATACCGCGATTGCGATGGTGCGAATGGCGTTGGACGCGTTCGTGAATCTTGATGTCGAAATCGCCCGTTCTGTCTGCCAACGGGACGATGAAGTGGACAATGCCAACCGTCAGGTGATCGACCGCCTGCGCGGGGTGATGCAGTCCGACTCGAGCGCGATTGAAGCGGCCCTGCATTATTTTTCCGCTTCACGACACATTGAACGAATGGCAGACCATGCCACGAACATAGCAGAAGACGTGATCTACCTGGTCCAAGGCGAAATAGCCCGGCACCGGGATGACGAAACCGAGTTGATGCGATTGGAATCGATGTAATGGCGAATCAAAAAGTCTTGATTGTGGAAGACGACCAGGCTCTGGCCGAAGTGCTGGAGTACAACCTGCGGCAAGCGGGCTATGATGTTGTGGTTGCGAAAGATGGCCGTCAGGGGCTGCAGCAAGTTGAAGCGTGGAAACCCGAACTCATTTTGCTAGATCTGATGTTGCCTCTTATCGACGGAACCGAATTGTGCCGTCGTGTTCGCTCGCGTGCGGAGAGCAAAGAAACCCTGATTCTCATGCTCACGGCCAAGGCCGAAGAGTCGGATCAGGTGTTGGGCTTCTCACTCGGTGCCGACGATTACGTCACGAAGCCCTTCAGTGTGAAGGTGCTGTTGGAGCGCGTAGCAGCACTGTTCCGCCGCCACGAATCGCGACACGAAGAAGAGGTCGCGATCAATTCACAAGGCGTTACAGTTGATCGCCGAAGGCACAAAGCCATGGCCGGCGGCGAAGTGCTGAATCTAACTCACAGCGAGTTTCGTTTGCTCGACGTCTTGGTACGACAACCAGGACGGGCTTTCACACGCTCAGATCTTATCGACGCTGTGTTGGGCGACGACAGCATGGTGATGGAGCGCACGATCGACGTGCACATCCGCTCTTTGAGATCGAAGCTTGGAGAATACGCCGGCTTGATCGAGACGGTACGCGGAGTTGGCTATCGCTTTGCCGAACCCGAAGTTGCTCAGCAATTTTCGAACGAGTCCTAATCGCCATTCTCAGGAAGGCTGCAACCTTCCGTGCACCCGAGAGTGGCCACACTTCCTATGAGCTTAGGAAGTGGCTCTTGTCACCATGCTGTTCAGGCGATTCTCGCGTCGCGTCTCTACGCTGACCAGAAGGTGTTTGGGGATGTCTCTGTGGAGAATCTCTTGACGGCGGATTGGAACATCTGCCGGGGCTTCGATTCCTATCCGGACTTGCTGCCCCCGGATTTCAACGACCGTGATTACGATCCCTTCTTCACCGATGTGGATGGCTTCGTTTTTCTTGCGTGACAAGACCAACATAGCACTGATTTCCTTGTGTATGAATGAAGTAGCGATGTCGTCCGTAACGTCACGCGAATCCGTCGTGAGACGGTTGCCAGGCACCCTCTAGAACTGCCCGCCAACCAATGCAAGCATCGTAGGGTCCGATTGTTAAGGATATGTGATGGCTTGATGAATAGCCTGGATTGCCAGGACCCTAGATTGCCGGTAGTCCGGCCTGCGACGGTCCCTGAAACTTGGTGGTAACCGGCAACGCTGGAAAGGCAACCTAAACGCCGGCCGCACGTGAAATGGATAATCGGGGGCATCCCCTTCATAAGGGGCCCGTGTCCATTTCAGAGGGATCATCGTGGTGCCCGAGCCCTCAGGTATCGCAATGGCACTACTTGGAGCGCGGCGCTGCTGTTTGCGCGAGTTGGCCGTGTTCGAAACTAGCTAGCGGGCCAAGCTGGGGCCTTGCGACCGAGCAAGATATCTTCGTAACTTCGACGCTCCCGCGGTTTCGCTGGGCGTTCATGGGTGACTGCTCTCAGAGCGACTCTTCCGCTCAGGCCGATCAGCCCTGGGGGAGCGGCCGTGACATGCCCAACGGGATAAGTGCCCGTGCTCCAGTGAGAAGTGGCTTCGCTCGTAGGTCCCGCGAAGTCGGCCCGGGTCACGTCGGTCGTGCTATGGAGATGCTCGAAAATACTCCACAGCAGCAAGTGGCCAGGCGAGAACTTCGAATATTCGGGGTCGTATGCGATCTTTGGGCTGAAGTAGGTCTCTTTGGCGATCCACCCATACTCGAACGCGATGGGGCGACCCCCACAGGACAAGAATGACAGGCAGAGATGACCATCTGCGGCCACTGCCTCTGCCTGACGCACGAAGAATTCAAAGACACCTGGCGAACGCAAGGCGGCAGTACCTACCTCACCTTTCCAACTCCGGTTTTCGATCTCAAATCCTTGTCGCATCAATGGGCCAACTTGCTCGATATCCAGATCCTTGTAGCAGGCGAATTCCACCTCGCCCTCGGCTTCGAGGCGACGATAAAGCCTTCTCATCTTCTTGCGGTGATTCTTCGAGCAACCGGCCTGATAAGCGTCCCAGTCGTTTCCAATTTGTACCGTTCCAACTCGAAACGTATCGCTACGTTTGTACTCGATGCGGTGATTCTTCATGGCTGAGAAGAAGATTTGCCAATGCACACTGGAGTACGGCACGTCTTCGAACCGTACCAGGGGTATTCGCAACCGACCGCAACCGCCGATCAGCATCCTGCACGCTTCATGAGAATTTTCAGTCGGGTCCAGCAAGAGTTCACCGGCATACGACCAGCTATTTCGAGCCAGTGCTGCCACCGGGACATAGCGACGAAATCGTTTATCAATCAAAGGAAGTGCCGAAATCAGCCGGTCTTGTTTGCGGACTACAAGAAAACGCACCCGGCGATGTTTCGCGAAAGCTCCTAGCCAAGCCAAAAGCGGGCCGCTACGGCAAGCCGGCTGATTGACTGTGGAGCGCTGCCACAAGTCGTCCCAAGCCTTGGCGTTAACTTGGAGTGCCTCGATTCCCCGCCAGATATCGAGTTGTAGATCGCTCATGTCTGCCTAAAGAACGAAGACGTGAAGGTGATGCCCATCGCACAGACGTTGCATCGTAGAATTTGAAAGGTCTTCGTAAGCCTACCCTCTGTTGCAGTCCAAGCTTTGGTCCGTCTCGTACCGGAATCTTACGGCAGGCAATTCTTTCTAATCGAGGATGGACAGTGACGGTTGCATCGGTCGCATGGCCGGTCTTCAAGGCCTGGAGTTGGGAGCGATTCTCCGGTGGTGGGCGAAACGCCCTGGACCTTCTAAAATAGCACCACATAAGCTACGGGCCCGTAGCTCAGTCGGTTAGAGCAGGGGACTCATAATCCCTTGGTCGGGGGTTCGAGTCCCTCCGGGCCTACTTTTCTATTACCTTTAGGAGAGGACTGCCGCCACCTGCTACTGTCCGAGTTGACGAAGCAGTGTATCGAGCTGGCGTCGGGCTTCATTAGAGTCGGGGGCGATCTCCAGTGCCCTTTCGTAAGCTTGGATCGCCTCTTGGTACCGACCGCTCTGGACCATGGCGATTCCTAGGGCGATTAGCGTAGTTGCATCTGGCTTTTCGTTGTTTAACTCGCACAGGCGGATCGCTTCCTGCAGGTGTTCAATCGCCGATGTGGGGTCCCCTTGAGATATCAGCGCTAACGCAAGATTGTGATGACTGACTACGAACGCCGGATCAATGTCGAGGGCATTGCGGTAATGCTCGATCCCCCTCTCGACCGAGCCCAGCGCAATGTAAGTCTGCCCCAAATTGTCGTGTGTGCGCGCATACTCAGGGTCCGCTTCAAGTGCCTTCAAGTAAGCACCTAGGGCCTTTTGCATGAGTTCTGCTTGGTCGTCACTGTTGGTACTCTGTTGCCTGGCGAGTTGTCGGCTGGCATCACCGACGTTGTTCCACGAGTCGCGAGGTTGGCGGTTGTACCGGGCGGCTTCACGGAAGTGCTCAATCGCCTGTGAGTAGTTCCTTCTGCTCAGGTACTCCTGCCCTAAAATCGTATGGCTGGGAACGCTCCGAGTGTTGATGCTCAAGTTGTGAGTGAACAGAGTTGTATTGTCTCGCCACAGTCCCACCTGCTCATGAGTGAGCCAGCCCAGGATTAGGAACAGCGTGGTGAAGGCTGCAAATGTCTGCCGCGTTGACCATCGGTCGGCAATGCACGCAACGACAAACGCTGGACCGAGCATGGCAAGATACGCATAACGATCAGCGACCGTCGAGCGACTTTGATATCCGAAGGGTACCAGCCCCAGCACGGGCAAGAGAGCAAACGTGAACAGCAGTAACGCCACGCAGGCATTTCGGCGAGAGGGAAGCAGCCAACACCCAATCGCAGCCGCTAATGGAAGTAGCCATGTCCAATACAGGTTGCCGGTCTCAAGCAAGTAATCCGGCGAGCGACCGTATTCTGGGCCAAGCCCCACGGGGAGGAAAAGCTTGTGGAGATAAAACGCCAAGGCATCGGCCGCCACCAGGAGGCGTGCCCACAGCTCGCGAAAGAAATCGAGTTCGACATCCGGTTGAAGCAGTTTGGTGACGATTGAGAATCCCGCTACTACAAGCAGCCAGGGAAAGGTGGATCTCAACGACTGAACCATAGAACGCTGCAGCACGCCAATATCCAGCACCATGGCCATCGGAACGACCGCCACGGCCGAAGGCTTGGATAGCAGCGCCATGAGCAGAGCGGCCGAGGCAAACACGTAGTGACGAGTCGATCTTGAGTTAGTTGTGCCTCCGCGATTGTTTCCACGGTGCACTTGGGCGTATCGCAAATATTGCCACAGCGCGATGAGACCAAAGAAAGCGGCCAGCAGGCCTCGTGTTTCAGTAACCCAACTCACGGATTCGGCCTGCAGAGGGTGGATGGCGAACAGGGTGGCTCCTGCCCAAGCGGGCCATTTCTCATTCAGCAGCAATCTCAACAGAGCAAACACCAGCAGCGCGTTGGCCGCATGCAGCAGAAGATTGCCCAGGTGGAATACGCGAGGAGAAAGTGAGCCGTCCTCCTTGCGGGCTATCGCGGCTTCGCCTGACAGGAACGTGTAGGTGACCGGAATATAGAGTGCTTGATAACCCTGGCTCCAGATGCGGCGCACATTTTCGGCGCTCACCGGTTCGAGCAGCGGATTCTCGTAGACATTGACGTTGTCGTCCCACCTTAAGAACGCATGGTTGCGAACAGGAGCGAACACAACGAATACCGTAACCAGCAACAGAGCCTGCGGAAGGTAGCGGACAGTCAAGCTCTGGGCAGGTGCTAGTCGTTGTGGCTCTGCGTCGGGCATGGGGTGAGCGAATGATGGAGACGAGCGATAAAGCGGAGGTCGCCGAATAGCCTCTTGGCCCTACACCTTACCTCGCGAGCACTTGCCCGGTGCATAGCAGCATAAAAATAAAAACGCCCCCAATTCTTGATGAACTGGGGGCGTTTCTGGGTTGATTCGTTTTCTACGGCAGCACTCGGGGCGAAGCCCGAGGGGTAGGAAGCCGTCTAGCCGACGAGTCGCACCGAGTTAGCACGAGGACCCTTGGGGCCTTGGCCAACTTCGAATTCAACGGTTTGACCTTCGCGAAGCTCCTCGAAGGTGACGCCTTGAACTTCGGAGTGGTGGAAGAACAACTCATTCTTCTCGCCCTCGATGAAGCCAAAACCCTTGTCCGTTACGAGCTTCTTGATCGTACCCTGTGGCATTTCTGCCCTCCTCAAATCAAATCTTCAACTTTCGGACCGACCGCTTAACCCGACATGGTTGCGTGGTAAAGAAGAGGGCCCTAACACAATTCAGCAGATAGCCACAAAACGAAGACAGGCACTTTCAAAAGGGCACAGCTAAACAAAATGCGGCGTGACGAGAAGAATGGCAGGTTGACCGTTCAAGACTGCATCGACTCTCTGCTCGACACGATACGTCGTGACCTGAAAAGTATATGTTTTTCGGGGGCAAATCGCAATCCCGAACGCGTCAACGCAACCCCAATCGCATCAAAATTGGCCGAGGTATGGGGTATTTGCGATGGCTGGGATGCTGCTCAGGCCACCCCCGTTCACTTGGTGTACACCTGCTTGGTGAACGCGTTAATCCAGAGTGACTTACGTGCATTTAAGGTCGGGATGACACGTCCAAGGAAGCTTACTACGAACCCATTACGCCTTTGGCAGTCAGAGAGCCAATGGGGGGTGAATGACGCGCCGGGCGGCGATCGTAGTCCTTCAGCAGCAAGAATGGCTTCTCGACCAGGTAGTGCAAAGCCAGGGCAGCGGCGATCGAAACCCCAGTGTAGATAGGCATATAGATCAAAAATTGCCCGCCCCGAGGCAGCGATTCGAAGCCGGGGATGTACGTCGCCACGTGGTACACGCTGTCGATAAACACCATGTGCACAAGATACAGACTGTACGAGATCTTCGAGAAGAAGAACAACACAGGCGAGCAGAAAACACGCGAATAGCGGCCCGGTTTCAGGGCCAGGCTGAGCAAGATCGCCCCGAATCCGACGGCCAGCGCCGGGAAAAGCAAGGTTGCGCGAAACCAATCCAGCGAATTCGTCAGCGGCCGAGCACACAGGAGATATCCCACCCACAGCATCCCGCTCCAAAACAGTGCCCGGTTGAAGGCGGCACTTTCGAGCAAGGGGAACTCCTCTCGATGCTGATAGAGCAGGGCGCAGAACGTGCCAATCAGCAGTGCATCGCAGGCCAGGTGGAATGGACTGCGAAGCGTCCAGAAGAACTCTGCGTACGAGGCAAAGCCTTCATGCTGCAGGTAGGTGATGATTCGAAGCGTGATCGGTACGCACAGCAGTGCGGCAATCGCCGTCAACCTTGTCTGGGTCGAGCGAATCCGCAAGATCGGGACCATCAGAAAAGGAATTAGGAAGTAGAACTTCTCCTCCACGCCCAATGACCAGAAGGCGACTACGAGCCTCCCCGGGATATAGTCCTGAAGAAATAAAACGTGATGCAGCGTTTGCCGCGAGAGATTCTCCTGCGGGATCTCGTACATCGGAATCAGGCCAGCGACCACGATAAATAGAAATGCAAAGTAGGCCGGAACGATTCTCAGTACTCGCTTCGTGAAGTACTGGCTCACATCGCCCCACCGAAAGCGATCACCCCAACGCCGCATGATGTGATGGGTGACCAGAAACCCACTGAGTACGAAGAACAGGTCGACCCCCATCCAGCCATTAGTCATGGGGGTCATTAAGTCCCAATCCCCGATGGGCAGTGCCGCCGAGTTGGGGTTGTAAAACGGACGAATTCCGTGTCGGAATAACACCAGCAGAATCGCGATCCCTCGCAGGCCGTCCAGCGCATCGATCCCGCCTGGGTTTCGTTCGAAACGTAGATAATCGACGATGTGTCGGCGGAAGGATGGCATGCTGCTTTCCGTTCCGCTAAGCGGCGCTGGGCTGAGGTGCCGGCGTGCGGCGTTTCTTCCAGATGACGCCGTCGACAATGTAATGGTGGAAGTTTGTCACCATCAGAACCACGAGCGCGACCGGCACAGCAGTAGCCGAAGTCAGCGGCACCGCCGCGCGATACATCAGACTGTAGGCCACCGTGGAGATGATCAGGCAAACGATGATGTAGCCTACGAAGTTCTTCGACAGGCACAGCGTCGAGATGAACCGCTTGTCGGGCTTCACCTCGTTCCCGAATCGATTGTTATTAAACCACCACACAAACAGGATATATTGGGCGTTGTGCCACACATTCAGCACCAACCAGCCCGTGGTGATGTCTTCAATCAGCACGTAGCCAGTGAGAAAGATGATGTGGTGCGTGGTGACGTACATCGTGTGAGCCAGCGGTAACCGACCTTCGCGCCACGCCTGGAACTGGCGGAAGAGGCAATACGCCATCGCCACAATCGCCACGGCACCCACTAGAGCCAAAACCGCGGGAACCACGGGCATGTACTTCACGTCCATGCCCAGGAAGTTCGGTTGGGTCTGGTACGAACGGTAAAAGATTCCAAACAGTGGCAAGAGGTAGAGCGCCCGTGTCGTGGCATAGTCGTCGATCATTGCCATCGGATCGGCTTTACGGCGGTAGCACCGCTCGATGCCGTAGCTCTGTCGTGTGTAGTGGAACCATTGCCAATACAGATACACGGTCGGCAGAACCCAGTAGCCCACCGCCATGGTTAACGCCAACGTGGTGGCTAGCACGATAATTGGCAATTGCACCACCAGAAACCGGTGCTGGCGAAAACTCTCTGCATCGAATGCTAGTCGGGTGAACGTCGAGGCAACGTGGTGATAGCCCAAAAACCACACGTCGATGAACAGAACCCATGCGAAAAGATCGGGCTCGATGACGGTGACCACCCCTGAGAGCAGGGCCACAATCGCCACCACAACGATCAGGTTGAGGTCGAATGTCGCGTCGCGCAGCCACCCGCGGGAAAGCGTACTCGTGGCAACGGGTGCCTTGGCTGTTGCTGCTATCGACATGACTCGAACTCCCATGGTCGATTCGAAGATCTATCCGCCCAGAGGACTAATGTTCACAGGGCCTGGTCGTTCGTTTCGCAGGTAGCTGACCAGCGGTTCAATCACTCGAGATCTACTGATTTCAGATGCCGACTAGGCGGGGCCGTAAGGAGGACGGATTTGTTTCCCTTTACCGGCTAGCCGCTTAAGTACCCGAATGCCACGGACGAACGAATACTTCGCGGCATCACGCCACGGCGAAACACCGAACGAAGAGGGACGGAGCCCCATCTTTCTGAGCTTGTGGTTCAGTCGGTGAAGAGACTCTCGGCGGGCCGAGTAATCTGTCCGGAAGGTGATGCTCAAGGAGACCGATATTTCCGGACCGTTCTTCACCCAGTGAGGTGCGGCGATTGGGAAATGAAGCCCTTCGCCTGGCAGTAGTTCGAACTGCTCTCCAACCGCGGCATACGCTTCTTTGTATTCCAGGCAGCGTTGGCCGGCAGTGAACATTTCTTCGACGGCTTCTTCCGACGCAACGACGCGGTCGGTTGGATCCCACATTGAAACATACTTGGGACCGCGAATCTGAAGAAGGAAGTTGTTCTCAGGATCGAGGTGATAGGGCGTTACAGTCCCCGGCGAGCTTACGATGATGAAGCCTTCACGAAGGTACATCCCAGAGGCACACCCACGTGATGCGGTTTCGATCTGATCCAAGCAAGAGTCGATCAGTTCTCGGTACTCTTCGATCACCTCCACGTTCTTCAGCAACAACCAGGACTGGCAGTCCTGAATCTGCTGGATGGTTTCTTCCGGCGTCAGTCCATTGTCGGGGGCTTTGCCGCTTCCCAGGTTGATGTCGACGCGGCCAAGCTTGCACTCGATCTGCTGCTCGGGGAGCTGTTTCGACAATTCAATCAGCTTGGGAAGCGTGAGGAGTGGGTTGTGGTTCAGGTTGTGCTTGATCTTAAAGGGACGGCGATTGAACAGCTCCTCCAAGATGTTGGTCTCGGGTAGTTCCAAAGGGTTGGTAAACGTTTCTTGATTGGGGGTAAGTGTGGTGCTCATCATTCAAACTCCGTCTGGAAATAGGCCCTAACCTCGGGCAATGGTGTCTCGTAGCCAACGCATCGGCGGGGCGGTCGTTACAGCGAAGTTGCCGAAACGCCGCCCGGTGGAAATCCACAGCGACTCGATTGTGCGACGTTCCCCCCACAGTCGATCGATCATGGGGTGATCGGGGTCGGCACATGAATCCATCCACTTCAGCGGAAGTCGCGCGTGAACTACCGCGATGTTGTCCATCTCGAGCAACACCCCCGGCGAGTACTGTTGGAAGGCCTCGTCGTAAGCGATTTTGAATGCGAATCCTCCGTCGCCTCCGAGGAAGTTGCACTTCAGTGCAATCATCTCCCCATTGAACTGGAGCCCCATCATCATCAAACGCCGCCGACGGAAAGCATCGTGAGCAATGCTGCGGAAGAAGGCGCGGTCTGCATCACTGCAGGCAAATGCGGAGGCGTTGCGGCCCTTCCAACCTTTTGATTCAAGGCGAAGAAACTCGTCAATCCAACGGTCGATATCGCCGTCGTCCTCGAGTGTGATGGATTGGAGTTCACCTTGTTCGGCGAGTCGCTTTCGCAGACGGCGGATCTCGTGTCGCCGTTTGCGGCAGGTCGCTATCTGTGAGTAGCTCTCAGCGTCGTTCGCAGGAACGAGCATCGCCCGATTGTGTCTTTCGCGAAGCCAGGTAGCGAGCCCGCGACGATAGATCAAATCGATGATGGCCCTGTGTATTGGGCCGTCGCTGGTCTGGCTATCGAGCCGCAGCACGGCGGCTCCCTGTGGATCGTCGCGAAACCAATCAAAGAGAGCAGCCAGTGTCTCTTCGATACAGTCGTCTCGCACCAGCGGGGTACGTAAGAAGCAGTGGATGTAGCGATAGGCTTGAAGGTTGCCGATCGGTAGTCCACCCAATGTTCGATGTCGCTCTAGTGGCAGCAGCCCGCAGAGTACGGGAGCGCTCTTCGGGTTCTTGCGACAAGGCCCATAGATGAGGGCCACTTGCACGTGTGATTCTTTGCCATACTTCTCCCACCCCGGGATCAACATCCACGGTTCGTAGAAGATGTTCGGTTCGGCGGCTTTCTCAACAAGCCGCTCCCACGCGGGCAGGTGTTCGCGTAGCTCATCGACCGTGTCGACAAGCGTCACCGTCAAAGGCTCGCCTGGCAGATCGTCGATGTTCCGATTGCTCGGTTTTGGTTTCGCAGATTGCGAACTGCTGGTATCGGGTTGTGGGGCGAGTTGCTGAGTCAAGGCAGCCACGTTCCGGTCAATGGTCCGCTCGCTTGGCTGTTCCACGAGAGAGCATCTCTGCGTGTCTCGAACCGCCAAGAAATGCGGTCCGGAATTGAGCGATCGCGGTAGTTTTCCCACGTAAACATAGGTTACGCGGGATGGCGAACCGGAAATGTTCGCTCAGCGGCGATTCGCGTCACTCTCCGGCTGCGCATACCGGTCGTGGGGAATTTGCGGGACTTCAGCCGCCGTGACTCATCGGGCCGAGAGCGAATAACTGAGTGCCCAGATGCACATAAGACACACCGCTTAAGCGGCTTCACTGTGCGGTTGGGGCTCGGCGCTCGGAGCTAGCGATTCGGCAAGTTCGGCCAGAGTGGGCGTCTCGCCTTCGATCTCTAGCGGGAGTTCGACGCCAGGATCGCACAGCAGGTCGATCGTGCCATCTTCTTCGCAAAGGTGTTCCAGCTCGCGGATAAGACCGTCTTTCACGGCCTGACGCACCAAGTGGCCTCGCGTGGCAACTTCCTGGCTGGCGGCCTCGCCGGCAGAATTGCACGCCCGTTGGGCCAGAGCAGCCAGGTATTCGCTGGGGATTTCGACAGTTTGAGGCACGTAAACCTTTACCCGCATGATGACACCTTACTCTGGCAACCTGAAGGAACAGCCCCTCGCTGGCAGAGCCTGCATTTGCTTGGCCCTGAACCAACTGCGGACAAGAAAATCCCGCTTGCGCGTTATCGGCAGTTCCGGTGCTACGGAATCAATCGAATCTACCGATTTTGCGGCCTGGGCCCCGAGTTCGACTGTGGGCCTGCCGGCGGAGGCACGAAAACCGGGTTCAGAGAGTCCAGATCGAGCGGGCCGCCAAAATTCTCGCTGAGCCCCCCCGCGTGTGGTAAAAATGGAGGCTTACGTGCCGTTAAATTCTCTATGCGTCAGGAGTTGAAATGATCGCAGTGCAACGAACAGCATGCTGCTTGCTTGCCGTGGGGACACTGATCTTAAGCTTCCCGGTCGACCGAGCGCTGGGCGAAGATAAACAACTGCATTCGTTCCGCAAAAAGCAACTCACCAATGTCTTCTACGGCGAAGGCGCCAACATCGGCGACTTCAATCACGACGGCAAGATGGACCTTGTCTCGGGGCCTTACTGGTACGCAGGCCCCGAGTTCAAGGAGCGGCACGAGTACTACACGGCCAAGCCGTATGACAAGGCTGGCTACTCTGACAATTTCTTCACTTTCACCGACGATATCAACGGCGACGAGTGGGACGACATTCTGGTCATTGGCTTCCCCGGTAAGGAAGCTTTCTGGTACGAGAACCCGCAAGGGGGCAGTGGCCTGTGGCCACGTCACGAGGCGTTTGACGTCGTCGACAATGAGTCGCCCACGTACCTCGACCTGACGGGCGACGGAAAGAAAGAACTCGTCTTCCACACCCGAGGGCAATTCGGTTGGGCCGGTCCCGATCCTTCTGACCCGACCAAGCCCTGGCAGTTTCATCGCATTTCGCCCCCGGGGCCCTATCCCAAGTTCACGCACGGATTGGGCGTAGGCGACGTCAATGGTGACGGCAAGATGGACATCCTCGAGAAGAACGGATGGTTCGAACAACCGGCTCAAGGGGCCGCCAACACCGACGAGATGTGGAAGCGACACGAGTTCAGCTTCAGCGGCCCCGGTGGTTCGCAGATGTATGTCTACGATGTCAACAACGACGGGCTTAACGATGTGATCACGTCGCTGGCCGCGCACGCCTATGGGTTGGCCTGGTACGAACAAGTCGAATCCGACGGTGAGATCGACTTCAAGAAGCACGTCATCATGGGGCAGAAGCCGGAGGAAAGCCCATACGGCCTGGTCTTCTCGCAGTTACACGCCGTGGAACTCGCCGACATGGATAGCGATGGTGTGCTCGATATCGTCACCGGCAAGCGACATTGGGCCCACGGTGGTCACGACCCCGATGGCAACCTGCCTGCCGTTTCGTACTGGTTTAAAACTGTTCGCCACGACGACGGCAGTGTGAGCTTCATCCCCTACCAAATCGATGAGAACTCCGGGGTCGGCACCATGGTCGCCGTAGGAGACATCAACGGTGATGATCTCATCGACGTCATCGTGGGCAATAAGCTGGGCACATTTGTGCTGATCCACGAAACCAAGGCCGTTTCGGACGAGGAATGGCAAGAAGCTCAACCCAAGCGCGTCGACGGGCAAGCCGATGCTGGCTCTCAGAAACCTGACAAGAATGCGGGCGTGCTACCCAAAGGAGCCGATGGAAACCCGCTTAATCTCGACTTTGAAAGCGGGACACTTGAAGGCTGGGTGGCCGAGGGCGATGCGTTTGAAAACCAGCCGATCGACGGAGACACCGTTGCTAGTCGACGTGGCGATATGAGCAGCCAACATCAAGGTCGATATTGGATCGGTACCTTCGAAGTTGGGGGTGACAAACCGAAAGGCACCCTTACGTCTGCCCCGTTCAAGGTCACTCAGCCCTTCGCCAGCTTTCTTGTGGCCGGTGGCCACTGGACCACGTCTCGTGTGGAATTGGTGAGTGCCGAAACTGAGGAGCCTTTCTACGTTGTATCCGGTGAAGACACCGAGAATTTGGGTCGGGTGGTAGTCGACCTGAAGTCTCAACTCGGCAAGGAGATGTTCGTCCGCATCGTCGATCACTCGATTCGTGGATGGGGTCACATCAACTTCGACGACTTCCGCTTTCACGAAGAAGAACCCAAGTTCGAAAACGTCCGTCGCATCGAGCCGCTCGATGAATACGCCAACGCAGGTTTAGAGCCTGAAGAAGCCGCCGCAGCGATGACCGTGCCCGAGGGCTTTTCGGTAACTTGTTTCGCCGGCGAGCCTGATGTTCATCAACCGATTGGTTTCACAATCGACGATCGCGGCAGACTTTGGGTCGCCGAAGCTTATTCCTATCCTCAGCGATTGCCGGAGGATGAAGCCCGCGACCGGATCTTGATCTTTGAAGACAATGACGGTGACGGCAAGTTCGACAAGCGAACCGTGTTCACCGAAGGGCTTAATCTCGTAAGCGGCCTTGAAGTCGGTTTCGGTGGAGTCTGGGTCGGCGCCGCGCCGAACTTCATGTTCATCCCAGACCGCAACCAGGACGATAAGCCCGATGGCCCGCCGGAAGTGCTGCTAGATGGTTGGGGGTATCACGATACTCACGAAACGCTTAACGCTTTCATCTGGGGGCCCGACGGTTGGCTCTACGGTTGCCACGGTGTGTTCACGCATTCAATGGTTGGCGTTCCCGGCACCCCGAAAGAAGAACGCATCCCACTCAACGCGGGCATCTGGCGTTACCACCCCACAAAACATGTCTTCGAAGTCTTCGCCCACGGAACCAGCAATCCTTGGGGCGTCGACTTCGACGACACGGGACAGTCGATCCTCACTTGTTGCGTCATTCCGCATTTGTTCCACGTCATTCAAGGTGCCCGCTACCGCCGCCAAGCCGGGCAGCATTTCAATCAGTTCACTTACGACGACATCAAGACGATCGCCAAGCATCGCCATTGGGTTGGAGCCACACCGCACTTGGGCAATAACCGCTCCGACCGCGCAGGCGGCGGGCATGCGCACAGTGGGGCGATGATCTACCTCGGGGGCACATGGCCCGAGGAGTATCGCAACAAAGTTTTCATGAACAACATCCATGGCAACCGTTTGAACGTTGACCAGATCGCGCGAAACGGCTCTGGGTTTGTCGGCGATCGGTCTCCCGACTTTCTACTGGCAAACGATTCGTGGTCGCAGTTGATGAACTTTCGCTATGGTCCAGACGGTCAGGTGTACATGATCGACTGGTACGACAAGAACGCCTGCCACCATCCCAAGTACTCGGTGCACGACCGCACCAATGGCCGGATCTTCAAAATCGCTTACGGTGAGACTGATCCGGTCGATGTCGATCTGAAACAGCTTAGCAACGAAGAACTGGTTGCCTTGCAACTCGATGAGAACGATTGGTACGTCCGCCACGCGCGACGGATTCTGCAGGAGCGAGGTCCCAACGAGGCTGTTCATGCGGCGCTGACCAAAATTGCCTTTAAAAACCCTGACATCACACGGCAACTACGCGGACTGTGGGCTCTGCACGTTACGGGTGGTTTGACCAGCGAACTGATCGATCGCGGTCTGAACAGCCCTGAAGAAATGGTAAGAGCTTGGACGATTCAGTTGGCCTTGGAAGATCGCCAAGCCTCCGATGAACTTCTCTCACAGTTGGTCGAAATGGCGGGCAACGATCCTTCACCGGTCGTACGACGATACTTGGCTTCGGCAGCCGATCGGTTAGGAATCGACGAGCGGGTCGAAATCGTGCGGGCGCTTGTCAGCCACGACGAAGACGCAGGAGATCACAACCTACCTCTCATGTATTGGTACGCCCTGGAGCCCATCGCCGGGGAGAACATGCAACTCGGTTTGGAAATTGCCGCCGCGGCGAAGCTTCAGCCCATCCTTGCGTACACCGTTCGCCGCATCGGATCTAGCGGCGAGCCGGAGGCCGTCGACTTGCTCGTTGATAATCTGGCGAAAATGTCCGACGAAGCTTCGCAACGCACGGTGCTGGCCGGACTGAGCGAAGCTCTTAAGGGTCGTCGTCAGGTGGAGATGCCGAAAAGTTGGCCTAAAACATTCCGTGAAATGGCCAGCACAGCTCCGGCGGATATTCGTTCGGAGCTAATGTCGCTGGCTGTGAAGTTCGGCGACCCGATGGCTCTGGCAGTTATGCGAGAACTCGTGGCCGACGGCGACGCCGAATTGGCCACCCGCCGCACTGCGCTGGCCTCCTTAGTCAGTGCCAAAGACCCGGAACTCCCCGAGCTTCTGCACGCATTGTTGGAAGACGAAGCTCTGCGTGGCGGAGCCCTACGTGCTCTGGCCGGCTACAACCACCAAGACTCGCCGGCGAAGATCATTACGGTCTACCCCAAACTCACGCAGTCTGAGAAGCGAGACGCACTGAACACGTTAGCCGCCCGAAGCACAACAGCATTAGCCATGTTGGCGGCTGTGGGCGAAGACAAGATCCCCAGCCGCGACCTTACTGCCGACCTGATTCGGCAGCTTCGCAACCTGAAAGACAAGAATATCGAGGAACAGATCACCACCGTGTGGGGCACAGTACAGGAATCGAGCGAAGACAAGGTGGCACTCATCGCCCGATACCGAGAGCTGCTCGAGAAGAAGCCGGAAACCGAGCCCGATGTGGCCCTGGGGCGATCGGTCTTTAACAAGACGTGCGCCCAATGTCATAAGCTGTTCGGCACTGGGAAGACGGTTGGCCCGGAAATCACGGGTTCGAACCGTGCGAACTTGGAATACGTGCTAACCAACGTGCTCGATCCCAGCGCCTTGATCGGCAAAGACTACGTCGCACAGGTGATCATCACCGACGATGGTCGCGTCGTGACCGGCATCGTACGACAAGAGACGGAAGATGCCTTGGTAGTTGCCACGGCCAACGAGACGATCGTTATCCCTCGCGATGAGATCGACGAGATGGAACCGAGCACCAAGTCGATGATGCCCGACGATATTCTCAAGCCGCTCTCAGAGAACGAATTGCGAGCCTTGGTTGCCTATCTGGCCAGCCCGCAGCAGGTGCCTATGCTGGCTACCGTGGACAACGCCGGTAGCTTCTTCAACGCTGTCGACCTTACCGGCTGGCAGGGCGATACATCGCTGTGGAGCGTTGAAAATGGCGAGCTGGTTGGCCGCACCAAAGGATTGGGCCACAACGAGTTTCTCGTCAGCGATTTCTCAATCGGCGACTTCCGCCTGAAATTCGAAGTGAAGCTAGTCGACAACCGCGGCAACAGCGGCGTGCAATTCCGCAGCAAGTCACTCGAAGGCGGTTCCGTCGAAGGCTACCAGGCCGACATCGGCGTTGGCTGGTGGGGCAAGCTGTACGAAGAACATGGTCGTGGCTTGCTTTGGAAAAAGTCGGGCGACGACCTGATCCGCCCGGGCGAGTGGAACACGTACGAAATCGTGGCCGTCGGCGACCGTATTCGCACCTACCTCAATGGCAAGCAGTCCGTTGATTTCGTCGACCCGACCGGAGCGAAGCGGGGAATCATCGCCTTGCAGCTCCATTCAGGCGGCCCCACGGAAGTCCGCTTTCGCAATTTCCAACTCGAACTCGATCCCCAAGTCGAACTAGCCCGCGGCTCCGGGGATGATTGACGTTCCGCGGTACTTCACTTGCTTGAGCTCGACGCATTTTTGAAATGCTGGGCGGTTGTTACGATGGGCGTGTGGTCATTTTGGTGTGGCCGCCACCTGTTGTAGTGCGCGCGGCGACATGAGGGCGGCTGAAGAATTGGGAATGAGGCAATGTCCCGGCGACATCGCGTTGTGGTCATCGGCGGGGGCTTTGGCGGTCTGCATGTCGTTCGCGGGCTGCGGAAAGCACCGGTCGACATCACGTTGGTCGATCGACGCAACTACCATTTGTTCCAGCCATTGCTCTACCAGGTAGCCACCGGAGGGCTTTCACCGGCCAACATTGCCGGCCCCATGCGATCCATTCTTCGTCGACAGCAGAACGTGACCGTACTGCTGGAAGAATTGCTCGACTTCGACCCGACGAACAAAGAGATTGTCACCAACGAAGGTCGCATCGAGTACGACACCCTCGTGGTGGCCGCCGGCGTAACGCATAGCTACTTCGGTCACGATGAATGGGAATCAATCGCCCCAGGTCTGAAGACGATTGACGATGCGACTGCCATTCGCGGGCGCATTCTCTCGGCGTTCGAGCAAGCTGAAGCCGAACGCGATCCGGAACTGCGCAAGCAGCATCTCACATTTGTCATCGTCGGAGCCGGCCCAACCGGGGTTGAACTGGCCGGTGCCCTGGCCGAGCTCTCGAGGCACTCGTTGAAGCACGACTTTCGCAATATCAACCCGTCCGATGCTCGGATTATCGTTGTCGATGCCGCTCCCGGGGTCCTTACCACCTACCCTGAAGAATTATCTAGCAAGGCATGCGGCTTCCTGAAACGCCTGGGTGTGGAAGTCCACACTTCGGCCATGGTCACCGACCTGCAGCCGGGCCAAGTCACGCTGAAGAAGGACGACACCACTGAGGTAATCAAAGCAGCAACCGTGCTTTGGGCTGCCGGAGTGCAATCGACCCCGCTGGCTGCCAAGCTGGCAAAGGCCACTGGGGCCCAGACCGATCGTGCTGGCAGGCTACATGTGGAGCCCAATCTTTCTCTGTCGGGCCACGAGAATATCTTTGTGATTGGCGACATGGCCAATTGCACAGGTCCAGATGATAAACCGCTGCCGGGTGTGGCCCCCGTAGCAATTCAGCAGGGAGATTATGTCGCCAAGCTGATACAACGGCGGCTCGAGGGGAAGAACCTACCGCCGTTCGCGTACCACAACCGAGGAAACATGGCCACCGTAGGGCGAGCTGCGGCCATTGCAGAGATCGGTCGCTTCCGCTTCGCCGGGTTCGTGGCCTGGCTGCTGTGGCTGTTCGTGCACCTGATGCAGATCGTGCAATTCCAAAATCGCCTGCTGGTGCTAATCCAATGGTCGTGGCGTTATTTCACGCATAGCCGGCCCGCGCGGCTCATCACAGTCGAAGCAGGCCGTCGCCAAGCGTCGCATGACGCCGAGGTCTAAGTCAGCCAGGCCAACCGTAAAAGCGGGGCTTGCTGGCTCTTTAGTACTCTAGCTACGGCCCGCTTCGAAGGCCGTAATCTTTTCGTCGTGCTCCAGTGTGAGCCCGATGTCGTCCAATGCATTCAGTAGACAATGGCGACGGAACGGGTCGACCTCGAAGCTAATGTTCAATCCCTGGTCGTCGGTGATCGTCTGGGTTTCAAGATCAACGGTCATTCGATACCCGGAAGTGGCGGCGCGGTTGAACAGATCGTCGAGCGTCGCGTCGTCCATCCGGATGGGCAGCATGCCGTTCTTGAAACAGTTGTTGTAGAAAATGTCGGCGAACGAAGGGGCGATGATCACGCGAATGCCATAGTCGTCAAGCGCCCAAGGGGCATGCTCCCGACTCGATCCGCAACCAAAGTTGGCTCGGGCCAAGAGAATCGAGGCACCCTTCACCTCCAACTGGTTCAGTTCAAACTCAGGGTTGTCGCTTCCGTCGGCATTAAATCGCCAGTCGTAGAACAGGAACTGCCCAAACCCGGTGCGTTCAATTCGCTTGAGGAACTGCTTGGGAATGATCTGGTCCGTGTCCACATTCACGCGGTCCATCGCCGCGACCAGTCCAGTGTACTTCGTAAATGCCTGCATGAATCTAGCCTCGTTTCAAATAGCGTGCGTGCCGGAACGCACCGTGTTCTAGTATGTATCTCTTGGGACGAAGTAAAGTTGCCGTCGCTATTTACTTATATTCCCAGTTGCGAATATCCACGAAGTGACCACTCACCGCCGCAGCGGCGGCCATGGCGGGCGAGACAAGGTGAGTGCGTCCGCCTTTGCCTTGTCGACCTTCGAAGTTGCGATTGCTGGTCGATGCACATCGCTGCCCGGGGCTGAGCGTGTCGGGATTCATTGCCAGGCACATGCTGCAGCCTGCCTCGCGCCATTCGAAGCCGGCGTCCACAAAGATCTTGTCGAGCCCTTCGGCTTCGGCTTGCTGTTTCACTTGCCCACTGCCCGGGACGACCATTGCGTTCACCGAGGAAGGCACGTGATATCCGGCAGCAACCTTCGCTGCAGCTCGCAAGTCTTCGATACGACTGTTAGTGCACGAACCGATGAACACCCGATCGATCACAACTTCGCTAATGGGCGTTCCCGGGGTGAGCGCCATGTACTTCAGGGCTTGCTCGGCCGCCTTCCGCTCGTTGTCGGTTGTACATTTGGCCGGGTCAGGAATCGTATCGCTAACCGGGGCAACCTGACCGGGGTTCGTCCCCCAGGTCACGTGGGGTGCGATGTTGGCCACATCGAACTTCAGCGACTTGTCGTACTTGGCACCTTCGTCGGTCGGCAGTTCGCTCCAGCGCTTCACGGCCGCGTCGAAGTCGGCTCCCTGTGGTGCAAACTCGCGGCCACGAAGGTATTCATACGTCGTTTCGTCAGGGCCAATCATTCCGGCCCTAGCTCCGGCTTCGATCGTCATGTTGCAGACGGTCATCCGCTCTTCCATGCTCAGTGCGCGAATGGCCTCGCCGGTGTATTCGATAACGTAGCCAGTACCCCCATCGGTGGTTATCTGCCCGATGAGGTACAGGATGAGGTCCTTGGCCGTGACCCCGGGACCGAGCTTCCCGTCAACGCGAAGCTCCATGGTCTTGGGTTGCGATTGCAGCAACGTTTGGGTCGCCAGCACGTGTTCGACTTCACTGGTTCCAATGCCAAAGGCCAACGCCCCAAATGCTCCATGAGTGGCTGTATGGCTGTCGCCACACACGATCGTCATTCCCGGCTGGGTGAACCCCAGTTCGGGGCCAATCACGTGGACGATTCCCTGCTTCGGGTTGTCCAGGTCGTAAAGGCGGATGCCAAACTCTTCGCAGTTCTTTCGCAGAGTGTCGATCTGCTTTTTCGAAATCGGGTCGGCAATCGGCAGGCTGCGGTCGGTGGTCGGAATATTGTGGTCGGGAGTGGCCACGGTGCGCTCCGGGCGTCGTACCTTTCGACCGGCCAGTCGAAGCCCTTCGAAGGCTTGGGCGCTGGTAACTTCGTGCACCAAATGGAGATCGATGTAGAGAATGGTTTGCTGGCCCTCGGGCGTATGCACCACATGAGCATCCCAGATCTTCTCAAACATCGTTTTCGGTTGACCCGACATTTCGGCTCCTTCACAGACAAAAAGATGGTTCCCGCACCACCGGTGGCCATCGCAGGTGTTTTGGCAGCTTCAGAACTGGGCGACCGAGAGAGCGGTGCCTCCCTTCGAGGACTCCGGATCGTGGCTGCATCACGATCTCGTGCCGCTGGTCCACTATCCCGGAACTAGCCGCTCCGGGACTGCCAGCATGTATCCCTTAATAATACCGCCCGAAGGCCACTTTGGGGAGTTGCCCTGGATGGCGGGAAATGACGAAATCCCCCCGGAAATACTGGCCAGGGCACCCAGGAAATGCCCCGAACTAGTAGAGCGACGTTCAGACGAGGCCCGAGCGGCATCGACATTCTTACGCCAGAAAGACCAGCCACCGAGCCCCCCACCTGCCTGATGGTCCTTGACGCGAAGTCGAATCTGAACGAGAGCATATGAATCTAGTTGGCCAGAGCTGTGCCCGGCGCCAATGACAAAATCGATAGAGTCATTGCAACCGAACGGCCGTGGTGAAGGACTGGACGCCTAATACGGGCTCGTGGTTCGCGCAGCAGGAATGAGAAGGCGCTCCGTGCTTTCGAGTGACTGTTCCCCTGGCTAAGATGAACTGTTACATGGCTCTCTCTTGCGGTGTCAGGCGGATCTTCTCTCTGCCTGGGCGTAAGCAAGTTGCCGATTCACGTTTCCTTCCGGAAGGGTTGCATGCAGCGGTCCGTGCCATTCAACAAGCCGTTTGTAGCCGGCAAAGAGCTGTATTACATCGCCCAGGCGGTGACCCTGGGAAATATCTCAGGCGATGGGCACTACACCAAATTGTGCTGCAAGCTGCTTGAAGAGCGATTCGCAATCCATCGGGTGCTGCTCACGCCCTCTTGCACCGCAGCCCTGGAAATGGCCGTGTTGCTGGCCGGGGTCGAGCCCGACGACGAAGTGATTCTGCCGTCGTTTACCTTCGTGTCGACCGCCAACGCAGTTGCCCGTCTTGGCGCTAAACCTGTGTTTGTCGATATCCGCGAAGACACCCTGAATCTGGACGAATCTCGTATCGAGTCTGCAATCACCGAGCGGACAAAAGCAATTGTCCCAGTGCACTACGCAGGGGTTTGTTGCGACATGCAGCCGATCGAGGCCATCGCCGCACGACATGACTTGGCCGTGATCGAAGACGCTGCTCAAGGGGTGAATGCGTATTACCAGGGGCGAGCGCTCGGGTCGATAGCACCATTGGGTGCCTATAGCTTCCACGCCACGAAGAACTACACCTGCGGGGAAGGTGGGGCTCTCTGTGTGAACGACCCCCAATTGGTCGAACGGGCCGAAATATTGCGTGAGAAGGGAACCAATCGCAGCAAATTCCTGCGGGGCGAAGTCGACAAGTACACCTGGGTCGACATTGGAAGTTCTTACGTTCCGAGCGAGATTGCGTCAGCGTTCTTGTACGCCCAACTCGAAATGCTGGACCCGATCGCGGAACGTCGCAAGCAGATCTATGAGAGGTATTACACTCGCCTTGAAAGACTCGCCGCAGAGGGGTGTTTGCGACTTCCGCACGTGCCGGCGGATTGCGAAAGTAATTATCACATGTTCTACGTCGTGCTCGACGAAGGTGCGACTCGCGACGCTTTGATGCAATTCCTGAAAGACCGGGGAGTCGGGGCTACTTTTCACTACATCCCACTCCACACTTCGCCCATGGGCCGGACTTATGGCTATCAACAGGGTGATTTTCCCGTGACCGAGAATCTAAGCGGCCGCCTGCTGAGGTTGCCGTTCTACTACGAAATAACGGAAGACGAGCAGGACTACGTGGTTGCCATGGTCCAGGAGTTCTTTCGATCGAATGCATCGAGCTAGAATATAAGAAAGCCTATCTCGCGTTTGGATCGTTTCGTCCGACGCAGACCGGATTGCCATGACGCCCACGACTCCCGAGATCACCGAGAGCCCTCAGAACGTTGATCGTTCGCAGGACGATCCGATGTATTCCATCGTGATCCCGGTCTATCGCTCAGCGAGCATTCTTCCGCACCTCATCGAACGGCTCGATGAGTTCTTCGCGGAACACCCCATGCGGCACGAAGTGATCCTCGTCAACGACGGAAGCCCTGACAACAGTTGGGAAGTACTTCAGGCTTTGAAGCAAGATCGCGACGATATTGTGATCATTGACCTTTTGCGGAACTACGGCCAGCACAGCGCTGTGTACTGTGGTATGCAGAACGCCACGGGTGACTTTGTCATCACGATGGATGACGACCTGCAAAACCCACCAGAGGAGTTGATACACCTGATTCGCAAGGCGGATGAGGGCTACGATGTGGTGTTCGGAGAGTTTCACCAAAAGATGCACGGCACGCTGCGGAAGCTGGGCACGCGAATTGTTGGTTGGTTGAATGCCAAACTGTTCAACAAGCCGAAGGACCTGGTGCTTACCAACTTTCGCATCATCCGTCGCGAAGTGATCGACGCCGTGTGCGCGGTGAACACCACCTTTCCGTACATCCCGGGCTTGGTGCTGATGTCGGCCAAGACATTCGCCAACGTTCCGGTGGCCCATCACGCTCGCGAAATTGGCGACTCGAACTACACGCTGCGTACCATTGCACGGCTCGTGTGGCGGATCGTATTCAACTACTCGGCGTTTCCGCTACGTTTTATGTGCGGGCTAGGGGGCTTGATTGCTCTGCTGAGTTTTCTTCTGGGGATGTACTTTCTGGTCCGAGCTGCCATCTTAGGTACCGCCACCCCCGGTTGGCCAACGCTTGTAGTTCTTTTGTCGTTTTATCAGGGCATGACGCTCGCCATCCTGGCTGCGGTGGGTGAATACGTCGTCCGCATTGTGAACGATGTTTCTGGCCAACGAGCGTATCGAATTCGCAAGAAGCTATAACTTGTCGGGGCGAAATAGCGAACGAGCCGATGGACCCCACTTTCGTCATTGCCGGCGGACAACGTTGTGGTTCGACAACGTTATACACGCTGTGCTACGAGCATCCCGAAATCTATATGGCCAAGCCGGCTTGGCCAGAGCCCAAGTTTTTCGTCGATGCGGTGGGAGTCGAAGACCGTCAGCGATACCTCGATCAATGGTTTTCCGATACCGGTTCGGCGAAGGCAGTCGGCGAAAAATCGACCAGCTACCTCGAGATCCAAGGATCGGCCCGTCGAATGCAGGAGCTGTTTCCTCGGATGAAGGTGGTCTTCATCTTGCGACATCCGGTTGAACGAGCCATATCGAACTACCGCTTCTCCCGCCGCAATCAGCTAGAAAAATTTGGCTTGGCGGAAGCGATTCGCCAGGAGTCATCACGATTGAGCGAAGAATCGTTTTCTGAGCTTTCGGTGAACCCTTTTGCCTATTTGTCGAGAGGGCGTTACATCGAGCACTTGCATCAGTACTTCGAACATTTTCCAGAGGAACAACTGAAGATACTGCTCAACGACGACATGAACGAGCAGGGTGAGCAGTACTGTCGGGAACTGTATGGCTTTCTTGGAGTTGATCCCAGCTTTGTACCGGGGGCCCTGGGGCAGCGGCACAACATCACTCCGCATGACGATCTGAAGGTGTCCCAGCAGCTTCTGGACGAAATGTTTGAATCGTTTGACGCAAGCAACCGGCGACTCCAAGAGCATCTGGGCCGAGATCTCTCGATGTGGTCTCAGGTGACTCCGATGTTGCAGCAAATTGTTAAAGCATAAAAAACAAACGCCCCTCCTGCACTGGGCGGGAGGGGCGTTGTCGTTGCTCGTTTATGCAATCGGTTCGTGTGTCGGCTGGTTATGATGCCGACCTAAGAACCTCAGTTGCAGCAGCACGAAGGCTCTGGAGCGCAGCAAGCTGGTTCGCAGCAGGCCGGCTCACAGCAAGCGGGCTCGCAGCAAGAAGGTGCACAGCAAGCGGCCTTGCATCGGTTACGAAGGCGATGGAAGAATCCGCAACGCTTCTTCTTGCAGCACGATCCGCAAGGATCGCAGCAGCTGGGCTCGCAGCACGAAACCGGAGCGCAGCAGCTCGGCTCGCAGCAAGCAGGTTCGCAGCAGGCGGGCTCGCAGCAGGCGGGCTCGCAGCAGCTGGGTTCGCAGCAGCTGGGTTCGCAACACGAACCACAAGAGTGGTGGTGACGACCGAGCATGCGGTCCAGCATTTCGAACGCTTGCGCGTCACGATTGCCGGCAGCAAAGCAGAAAGCGGCCGCCATCAAACCCGGTAGGATCCAACGGCTTTTCATGGGAGGGCTCCTTAACTTAGCAACCTCGACTCAGGGAGAAAATGTGCTGTCACTTGCAGCTATCCAGTGGTATCGTCGGAGCAGCGACTTTGCTTGATGGCGAATCTAGGGAGTTCAGGCAATTTCGGATGCGATTGTGGTGCAAGATATTCCGATGGCACAGAGCATTCGGCTCGCATGATGCCTCCGATAGCTTCAGGCACCCCACGACCCAGGGTCTTCCCAGCTTTTCGAGGGGAAGCAATCGTTACAGACGCTAAATGTGGCGTTCAGGCGTGAATCGCAGGCCAAGGGTATCCGATACGCCGGCGGTTGGTCGTCAGTGGCCGGAACGTACTTCGAACGCCTTCTCAAAGGCGGAATTAGGCCCCGACGAGCGAGCGGCAGTGGCGGACGATCTCGGGCACACCTAACACGAGAGCCATACGCCCGGCCCCCAATTGAGCGACCCCGGCAATCTTTTCGGTGCCCGGCAAGATGTCGCGGAGTCCGTTGACGACCACTTGGCGATGACCTGAGACCTCGTCTGCTAATAAGCAGATCGCTCCGAACTTGCTATCCACTAGCACAGCGGCCATCGAGTCGCGTGTCGCGAAGGCTGCTCCTGGCAGGTCGAGAACCTCGCTGAGCGAAACGGCGTGGTAGTTGGAACCGCGGATGGTCGCCACGGTGGTTCCTTGAACCGTCCGGAGCTCGTGGCGATCGAGTTCGGAGATCTCGAGAATGTATTCGAACGGCACAACGAACGACTGTCCCGCGTGCCTGAGCATTAGCCCATCGACAACCAGCACCGCTTCGCGGATCGGAATGTCGATGTGGATCGTCGTGCCTTGGCCCAGTTGCGACTCGACGTAAACTTCGCCGTTGTGTTCTGCGACAATCGCACGAACGACGTCCATGCCTACGCCACGCCCGGAGACGTCGGAGATCGTTTCCGCTGTCGAGAGGCCTGCTCCGAAGATCAACTGACACGCGTCTTCGTGAGGCATGGCGTCTGACTGAGCTTGAGTAATTAGACCTTGCTCGACGGCTTTCTGTTTGACTTTCTGAGTGTTGATGCCCCGCCCGTCGTCCTGAACAACGATGCAGAAGTGGGTGCGTGTCTTTTCCGCTTTCAGCCACAGATTACCGGTTTCATCAACTCCACGGGCTCGCCGTTGTTCGGGAGTGTCGATGCCGTGATCGACCACATTGCGAATCATGTGTGTTAGCGGCGCATCCAAGTCTTCGACCAGTGCTTTATCGCACTCGGTCTCTTCGCCGATCACGTGGACGTTGATTTGCTTGCCCAGTTGGCTGGCCAGCGACCGGGCCATGCGCGGGAATTTGGCGAACAATCCGGAGACTGGCAGCATGCGCAGCGAGACGACGCCCTTCTGCAAGTTTCGCGATTGTGCGATGAAGGTCTGCGTGATCTGTCGCATCTCATCGACGAAGGCATCGCCATGTAGATCGCTGGTCATCCGGCTATTCAAGTCTTTGAACAACTCGCAGGTGATGAACAGCGAAGATACATGATCGAGGAATTCGTCAATTCGCTCTTCTTTGACCCGAACCAGCCGTGACTTGGCAGGGGTTGTCTCTTTCTTCTCCGCTTGCGCTGTTGGTTGGGCGTGCTCTTCTACTTGCTGGGTTTCCTCAGCAGCCAGCGGTGATGAATCTTGCTTCGCGCTGTCCGAGTGCTTTCGCAATTCAGCAAGCGTAGGCGCTAATCCATCCCAAATCACGGACAGCAACAGGTCATCGATGTCCAGAGGGCTGTTGTGAATCGTTTCGAAATTAGTCCGGGTCTCGAGAACCGCCGAGCCGATTCCATCGAACTTGTGCTCGCGCGCCCAAGTCGATAGTCGAGCAGTTGCCGACAGGAACGCTTCAGCGACTTCGTTGTTGAATTGCTTCGCTTCGAAGCTCGAGAAGAGACCAAGTACTGCTGAGACTTCCGACGTGAGATCGTCATCGCCAAACACCCAGGTTGCCTCGTGCAATTCTTCGAGGCTCAGTACTCCGGTTTCGTCCCCGCTTCCCCCCAGCGAATCATCTTCATTGCGATAGGCTGCCACAACTTGCTGCAGCCGCATTCCCCAGCCGGCCAACTCGTTTGATTCAGAGAGTTCAGCCTCGGCGGCCAGCAGTTCGACTTGCTCAAGCAGCGCATCGATCGGGTCGCTGCCTTTGGAAGATTCGACGCTCAGCTCCGCAATTCGCTCCAGCAATTCACTGGCCTGTGGGGGAAGTTCCTGCGGCAGAGAACCATCGAGAGTAGCACCCAGTAGCTCGGAAAGTTGATCGAGCGAATCGATCAGGCATCTTTCCAGGGGCTCGGTAGGGGCAATTTCCCCCTGACGCATTCGGTCGAGTGTGTTTTCCAGCGTGTGGGCGAACGATTTAATCGTACCGAATCCGAAGAATCCGGCGTTGCCCTTGATGGAGTGAACCGAACGGAACACCGCGTTGATGGCATCCGAATCACTCGGGTCGCTTCGAAAATCGGCCAAGCGCTCTGGTAGCCCCTGAAGCGAATCGAGCGCTTCATCAGCAAAATCTTCGAGTAATTCGTTTGATTCGGCAGTTGTCACGGAAATACCTGTCCTACGCGATCGCAAGTCAAAACTAAGTTGTTATGCATTCACCGTCCGCGATTCGCGCCGGCGTTGAGACAATTCTTCCAGTGTGTTCCACCACCGATCCAGCTTGCGAAAGGAATCTTGCAAGGCTTGATCCAGCGGATCGACTTTGGTGAGGGGTTTGAACAAGCAGGCTTCAGCCCCCAATCGCAGTGAGCGAAGCACGCTTGTCATTGTGACCAGGCCGGTCAGCATGATGACCTGTACGCCACCATCTTGCCTCTTAATCTGTTGCAGTAGTTCGATGCCGTTGATTCCTGGCATGTCGATGTCGCTGATGACAACGCGACATTCATTTTCCAGCAGATAATCAACGACCAGGCTGGGATCATTGAGCGAAGTGACCTCATAGCCGCGAAGTGAAAGCTGTCGGTTCACGATCCGCGTGACTTGTGGGTCGTCGTCGATATGGAGCACGCTGTGCTTAGTGTCAGCCATAGGTAGATTACCTGCCCAGGAAGTTAAACCCGTTCTGAATGTGGCCCTCATCTTGTAGCGTAGTTCCGCAACTGGACACAAATGCGGGTGCACATCGCTACATGTCTTCCGGCTTCGACACATCCAGACGCTAGCTATTGTCTAAATTCGCTGGCTTGCGGAACTCCGCAATTGGGGAAAATGGTTACAGCTAGTAGACGTGTTTCAGCCCGACCCAAGAGGTAATCGCCAGCCATCGTTTCAGGTTTGGCTTTCTCCAATTCATGCACTAGGTTTCACGATGGGTTGGCATCGATACGCGCAGATCTCCAATCACTCAGCTACAGTCCACGAAACGAGAGGTGCAAGAATGCCCGAAGCTTGCGAGCAGATCACGCCCATCTATTCCACCTTTGGCGATGATCCCGATCTTGGCGAGTTGGTGGAGATGTTTGTCGACGAAATGCCTGATCGAATCGGCAACCTTCAGGCCCAGTACGATGCCAAGAATTGGGAAGAGCTTTGCCGTGCGGCCCATCAAATGAAAGGTGCTGCGGGAAGTTATGGTTTTGATGAGCTTACGCCTATTGCCGCACAACTCGAGGCAACCGTCCACGGAAACGAGGCAGAAGATAAGATACTGGCAGACCTAAACAGCCTGGTCGACATCTGCAGCCGCATCCGCGCAGGCGCTCCCTCTTAGGTAAGTTGAAAACTCGCCCAGAGTTGAAAAGCTGTCCCCGGGGAACGGTTACGTCACCCCTGTTCGCTCTGCTTAGCGAGATACAGAGCCTGCAGATACGGGATTGGCTCGTTTCCTAGGGCATTCAGCACCGTGCCACCTGCGGTGAAGCAGTGGGTAACCCAATCGGGCTGGCCATAGCGGTCGAGTGCGGTGCCACCCTCGCCTCCGCCGACGTACACTTCCACTCCGGCGTCGGTCATCCGCTTCAACTGCGAGATAAAGCGGCGGGTTCCCGCCTCGAACCTGGGGTCTTCGAACATGCCGAACACTCCATTGTGAAAGGCCACTGCCGGTTCGTTGCCCCCGCGGGTGTCGTCGATGAATTGCCCGACCTTCGCTTCGAATAGATCGCTCGACTTCGGTCCCACATCGAACTGCTGATCGCCCTCGGCAAGGGTTTCTGAAGTGCTGCCGTCAGCCAGAACGAAGTCGACCGGTAACACAAACTCGATTCCCTCTTCGCGTCCGAGGCGGACCATCTCTTTGGCCTGCTCGATTCGCTCGGGGGCGATGTAGTAGGGTTTATCCGAATGCTCCGGGTTCTCAGCCACACCTAAGCAGAAGTCTCCGCCATCGAGCTGAGCCGCTCCTTTCTTAAGCGACATCGCCAATGAGCCGGCAGCGATGACCATCCGGACCTTGCCTCGCCCGATGATGGCTTCCATGTCGTCTAGTTTGTCGACTTTCAGGCCGCTGAATACCACAAGCTGACTCTTGCGGCATTGCAACATGGGGCCTTCCAGTTCAGAGGCCAGATAGCGTCCCAGAGCCACTTGCTCCATGGCCGCAGGAACGATCGTGCTCGAAGCGTCCATGCTTCCGGCCGAAAGGGCCTCGTGGATGTAGACCTTGGCGACATTGTTGGCCATCTCTTCGGCAAACTTCGCCAGGCGTTCAGACAAGCCAGGCAAATCATCGGGCCCTGCTTTCCAGAGAACCCGTTCGATGTCATACGCGCGGGTATTCTCCAGCATGAGCACGGTGCCAGGCGTGCTGCTTTGAATCTTTTCTGCGATGGTGGTGGGAACCGTGCAGGTTTCTTCGTCAAACCATTCGGTGAGCAGTTCAACCTTGGTATCCAGCAGCTCACCCAATCGGTCGGCCACCTTGGACAGCGAGCCCTCGGGTTTTCTCCCGATGTGACCGAAAATGATCTGCACCCAACCCTTCTGGCGGCCCTCTTTCAAGGTTTCGACCATCGATCTTAGGCGGATGTCCCCCTCGCCAATGCTCGGGCCCGGCTTGGCATCAACATCGCCCCGTATCAGCACCGATGTGCCTTCTGGCACATCACTTAACGCATCCAGGCGGGGAATCGCCGCAACATATTCTTCCAGCGAAAGGTGCGGGGCATCTTCTGCAACCCCCAGTAAACGCCGACACCAGGCTAACATCGACTCGTTCGAAAGCGACATATCATCTGCTCCGAGGGGGGAGGTTGCGGTCAATCAGCGGAACGCCTGCACCAGCCTCACCGTTGGCCGGGGCATCGCGCGATTTCCACGATAACAAAACAGCGTAGAAACGGAAGCCGTCGGATGCCTTGCGGGGTGACCGGCGGTATCCGAGAATTGGCAGCAAGTTCACCGCGACGCACGTCGCGCAATGATGTCGGAAGTGATGGGGAGACCTAGATGAGCACCGTAGGATTCGTCGGTTTGGGCACGATGGGGCGCCCGATGGCCAAAAACCTCATGAAGGCAGGCCACGAACTGGTCTTTATGGCTCGGCGACCCGAGGTGGTCGAAGAGGTCACCAAGGCCGGCGCCCGTCAGGCGGCGACCCCGGCCGAAGTCCTGGCGGAATCTGAGTTTGTCATCACCATTGTTCCCACCGATGCCGAAGTCGAACAGGTGGTTCTCGGACCCGGCGGAATTGTCGAATCAGCAGTCGAAGGCAAGATGCTCATCGACATGAGCACGATCAGCCCTTCGACGACCCGAAAGATAGGGACACGTCTTCATCATGCGGGAATGGCCATGGTCGATGCCCCCGTTTCCGGAGGACCCTGGGGCGCCGAATCCGGAAAGCTGACGATCATGGTTGGCGGCGACGAAAAAGACGTCGACCGCTGCAGACCGCTGTTCGAGGCCATGGGAGAGAAGATCTTTCACGTCGGACCCCTGGCTTCGGGCCAGACGGTGAAGCTAGTCAATCAGATGATTGCCGCCGGTGTGATGGCCCTGATCGGCGAGGGCTTCGTGTTGGCCAAGGCCGCCGGGGTCGATCTCGATATGCTCGTCGATGTCATGTCTGTCTCCAGCGGCAACTCCGCAATGCTTGAGGCACGCGGCAAGAAGTTCGTTTTGGCGAACAACTACGAGCCCGGGTTTAAGACGCACCTTATGCGGAAGGACATTGGTCTGGCCGTTCGCATGGGCAACAACTTCGATGTCCCGCTTCCAGTCACGGCCGCCGCTTTTCAGCAATACACGGCCGCATTAAACCAGGGCCTCGCGGCCGAGGACTTTGCTTCCGTTGTGAAAGTTTGTCAGCAAGCCGCTGGTGTGAAGCTGGTGGATGACAAGTAGTCTCCTAACCTTCTACTGTCCTTCAGCAGCTTCGATTGCCCAGGCTTCAACCATTCCGCCGTCTTCACTGCGGGTGGAGACCAGCAACAGATTCTCCTGTCCGGTGTTCAGCATGGCGAGCCCCGTCAGTTCCGCTCCGTAGTTGAAGCGATCGATCAACGTTCCATCGGCTGCTATCAGGTGCAATGATCCGTCCGGGGCAGCGACGATCCAGGCTTGCTGACCGTCGGGAGTCAGAATACCCGAAGTGAGCATCTCAATCGGCTGCTGATGAACCCCGGGCGGCAACTCGTAGTTCCACGCTTCGGTTGCATCGGGGGTGAGGCCCACCACGACCTGACCACCACTAAGCGTGGGCGAGATGGTGCAGAACTCAGTCTGACCATCTCCATTCAAATCGCCCGAGCGAATCGCCACGGGAAAGCGTCCCTCGACTGCGATTTCGCTTCCCACATTTCCTAGCGAATCGATGGGTACCAGCGTCCCGCGGCGGTTTGCACATAGCAGCAGTCGCTGCCCCGCCGCGTCGGCACCGGTGAGGGCGAAGCTGAAGACGTCTTCGAGCGACTTGTTTCCCCACAGTCGTTCGCCTGAGAGGTCGACGGCTTGCACCCCTACGACGCCCCAATAGCCAATCACCAGCTCCAGTTCACCGTTGCTGTCCAAGTCGGTGATCCAAACATCGGAGATGCCTGCGTGTTGACCTTCGGGTGGATAAGTGAGCACGGGCTTCAACGATTCGTCGAAGACGTGTATCTGCTGTTGAGCGGGTGCCGAGCCGGCAAAGAACTCTTGCCCTTGCCCATCGACTGCCGATCGCAGATAGGTCACGGCAGAATCTTCAGAAAGTTCGAGCGGGAAGTTACCAATCAGCTCGCCTTGACCATTAAATTCGGCGATCGACCTGGCGGCATCCAGAACCAGAATTCGTGCTTCTCCGGCCGCGTTCGTTGTGGCCACGATGTTTCCGGGGCGACCAACCTTGTCGCTACTCCATACTTTGGTCAGCTTGAGGTGCTCTGGCTCTGTGTGGGCTGCAATCTCCACTTTGCTTGGCGGAGGTGTGGCGGCCGGAGCTTCCGACGGTGGAGGCTCATTCATCATCCGCTCGTAGTCGGCAAGTTGCTTCTGGTACTTGGCCAGCGACAAGTCGGCAACGCTTTCGCCGCGTAACAAACGATTCAGATAGTCGGGTAGTAACGCCGGGATATTCGGATTCGCCCCGATCTCGTTGTGTTGCACCGTGCCATCTGGGCCCAGCACAAACATGTTCGGGATGCCCTCGACTTTGAACACGTCGCGGGCTGCAATCTCCGGGTCGCGGACAATGGGGATCGAAACACCAATCTCGGCAAACTTCTGTTGCAGTTGTTCGTTCTTGACGTCGCTCGTATCGGTGCTCACCGCCAGAAAGACGACAACGGGATTGTCTTTGTATTGTTCGTACACCTGCTGAAGTCGCGGTAGCCCATCCAAGCAGGGTCCGCACCACGTGGCCCAAAAGTCGAGGACTACAATCTTCCCACTCAGCGACGCCAAATCGACGCGTTGACCGTCGAGACTCAAGAACTCGAAGTTCTCGATTTTCTTACCTAGTAGATCGGAAGGTGGTTGCGGCTCCGGAATGAGCTGACGGGTGTCGAACACCGAAACAATTTGGGCGTCAGCCGGCACTTCATATTGAAAGGCTGTCTCGGCAATTGGCCGATTGAGCTGGGCTCCCGTGAAATCGGCCGTGAGCCGAA